TTAGTGGTTTAAAAATCCCTGATCCGGCACAGAATCGGCCAATTCGAACCGGGAATCGGTCATCCCGTGTTAATTATTTTGTAATATAGTGAATCGCTGGATGACGTTGGGCACCCATTGTGCCGACTCATCCAATTAGAACCTGGAATCGGTTCCCGTGCCGATTCTTTTGTAATATAGTGAATCGCTGGAAGACATTGGGCACCCATGGTAAAAAACACGTGCTCCATCACAAACCTACACTGCTACGTGCGTTTCGCTCGCGACTAGCTTTGATAGCATAAAACTATTTATCCTTACCAAATTTGATGTGGGACAATTGCGGCAAGATAATAGCTCAGAAATAAATATGATATAATTATTTAGTGATCTCTTTATATCACAACATAATATTTGACATGGTAGTTAGAGCGTTGCTTTGTGCATTGGACATCGTGGGATCAATTCTTACTCAGGTGCCATCATTTCTTCACAAAAAAATTAAATTTTTTCTTTTTACAAAATAAATTTTTTTTTTTTTAAAAATATTTTTTGTTAAAAAAAAAATAAGGTTCTTGTAAAAAAAAAAAAAATAGTAACCAATTCGTTTTTTAAACCATTGCTATTTTTTATAGGTGCACCCCAATGAGAAGATGACACGTCTGAAATTTTATATTCATACAATTTTTATAAAAAAAAACCAAAAATAAAATACTTTAAGACATTAGATCTAAGATCAAACGGTAAGTAGCTCTCTTAATCAAAATTGGATGGCTGGAATGATAGGGGAAGCATATATCTCCTATGCTGCAGTGGAAGTATAGAAACCTTTCCCTTTATTGACAATGCCAAAAGAAAAAAAATTCAAGTTTCAAATCATATTTCATTAGATCATTGATGTATATTACAATATGGCCTTCCATGGCCTGCCACATCAACTGATGAAGATTCAACCTCCTAACTATGCATATCTTATCTTTAGATAGATGCGTTGTTCTCTCTCTAGACAGAGGCATTGTTCTCTCTCTGAAGTCTCCTATGAGAATGACAAGTTACTTTCTGACCCAAAGTCCTACATAAGACTTGTTGGGCTGCTCATCTACTTCATTATCACTCGTCTCGACATTAATTTTGCGGTTCACCCTCTTAGTCCATGGCAGGCCTTGTCGTAATAATGCAAGATTACGAATGTAATGAACAAAATTCAATTTTTTTAGCAAAGGTTGGTCCTCAATAAAATTGAACCATTTATTAGTCTTTTCAATGTGTTTTTGTTGGTAGATTTAACAAATCTTTATAAAAGAAAAAAACTTTTACGAATCTAAAGGGGATTTATTCCTCCAAAATTGTCTCCCTAAATCATCCAATGGGTTTTTAGCAAATCCTCCTTTGCATTATTTTCAAGGGAAGCCCTTCGCTTATTTTTATGTCACTCATTTATAAGTACAATATGCTCAAATTTTAATGATGTTTCTATAAATTGAACTAGTTAATTGCAGGTGCATTGCATAAAGCTCCAATTTGTTATATATATTTCTATATATATTTATATATGCTATGATAAAAAATTTGAATTATTCACTGTTTCTTAAATATTTCCTATTTATTACATAATTTATGCCTATTTTTAGGTTTCAAATTATTAGTATCGCTTAATTGAAAAATAATTGGTGTCAATTCAAGATAAGAGAGTGGAATTTTTCAGGAAGAACTTGATATGAGACCTTTTAAGTTAGAGAAAATAGGAATTGTTTCAACTATAAATGTCTTCACTAAGCATGCTTATAGATAAGATTGAGAATGAAATGTGATAAAGCAACAATCTAAGGATTCTTAACTTGGTCATTCCTATGTAGGGAGTTTTTAGAAAAAATTAGAAGGAAAAAGAGTAATGGATGGATATTCAAATTCACACTTTAATTTGCCATTCATTTGTAACATTAATTAGGGTTTGTATACTATAATATCATTTATTTTTTTGTACAAGGAGGTCACAATCATTTTTGCTCATTGGATGTGAAATCCAATAGATGAAATTATGTCATAGCATTCAATTAATTTTATTTTAGATTTTGTGCCTAAACAGTGACACATCCTCAACCACTTGGTTTTAAATCTAATGGTTAATGATGATTGTGATATCCTTGTATCAAAAGTAAAAGTGGGGAACCTAAAGGTAGAGAAATTAAATTTTACCTATATTCATGATCAACCATCACGATTGGAAGTTTATAATCACACCCTTATTATAGGTAGGAGTCTTTATGAAATAATAGATAAAAGGGAAAGTATAGCATGAGACTAGTTATCTCTGGTGCAAGGTGGCCACACCAATCTTGACTATTGGATGTGAAATTGGGTGCCTGCAATTATTTTATTGCCCAAGCTCGAACTTCAAAAGAATTTTTTAAGCTTCGTGACACATCCAAGCTATTGAATTTCACATTAAATGGCTGTAAATAATTGTTACTACCATGCATCAAAGATAAATAATCTCATTGTATACAATCCCTAGATAAAAATGCAATTTATTTCAATTCTAGCGTGAATTATTTAAGGGGAAAGTTTATATAGTGCTGAGGCTCTAAACAAATCAAATTGAGCCTACCTAAAAATTCTTACTAGAAGAGGTTGTTTTTGTGCCTAAACATCCTTAAATTGATCATCTCGACATCAAAATGTATAGATATGAACAAAAAATAGATTTCACGTTTGTATGCAGTTTGCATACGGATCCATCTGTAGGTGTAGAGGTAAGGTGCACATTCAAATTTTATCATGGTATATAATTATGATGTAAAATGTTATTAGGATTATCTCAAAATCTATTTTTATATCTAACTATAAAATTTTAAATTTAAAAAATGGTTAGAATCAAGTAGATCTATAAACATACGAAAATACTGAAATGGACGGTGTAGATAATATGTTGTAAAATGCACTATTTATGAGACTTAAAATCTTTTTATTTTTCATAGTCATACATCTCGATATCAAGATGATCAATTAAAGGGTTTTTCAACATTAAAACTACCCTTTCCGATGGATTTTTGAGGGGCATCCGTAGCTCTACATTATAAGGTAGCATCATTATATAAACTTTTTGCTTCAAGTTTTGGAAATAGGGTATTTTGTAATACATTTTTGGACGGTCAATTTTCAATATTTTCAAGTTTTCATAAATCTATTGATCTACACTATTTTGGAAGCTTTAAACTTTATAAATAAAGATGATAATATATTTTAAGGTTATCACAAAGATTTTAAGTAATGAAACCACATTTCTCGACATTATTTGAAAGTAGGCTCTAATTTGATGCTTTAGAGTCCAGGCTCTATACAAACCGTACCAAATATTTAATAATATAAAATATAAAGTTAAAATATAATAAATAAAAATCAAATTTCATAAATCAGGGCTTCATGCTGCACACGTGTCACTAACTAGTCGTTTACTATATCGAATACTTCTACCTCAGCCACACCTACGGTATTGTCCAGTTAGAATGAAATTTGTACAACCAACATACATATATATAACCGCTGAATCATCCCCTTAGGCATAGACATGAATGAGAGAGAGTAGAAAAAGGGGCGGAGATGGTGAGAAAGAGTCAGCATCTAGAGAGAGTAGATAAAGGGAAGGAGATGGTGAGAAAGTGTCAGCATCTAGAGAGAGAGGTGTGTGCTTTCCCTCTACAAGGAGAGGGGATGTCTCCAACCTTTTGCAAGCCATGGGGAGTGGGTCAGGAGGGGGCTACAAATCATAGCATTGGGAAGGTGTCCTCTCTCTCATATCCCTATATCTTCTAATCCAAAATAATACAATAGAAAGGAAGATGTAAAAGCTTCTAGTAGCTCTATCCTCCTCACTCTCCCTAAATACAAAGAGAAAAAGAAAAAGGAAAAGCCTCCCTTCTTTGTTTCAAGGAAGGGAGACCCAGACCCATCCCTCATCCCTACCAAAAATCATAAAATAGGAACAAAAAAGAAAAGTAAGGAGGAATGGAGCTAAATTTCACTATTAAAAAGAAGAAGAATAAGTCAGGCCAAATCTTTTATATTTTAAAGTAATAAATTAAAAATCCAAGCGGACTCATAATTGATCAAGTCGGTTTAGAATTAGGACCCTATTACCAGAAAAAGAGACACTAAATATTCGAGTGTCTTTTGAGCTCAAGTTATCATCATCAACATCTTCAAAGCTTTTTTCCAACTAATTGGGATCGATTGTATGAATCCTAGTCTGCCAACCTGCTCCATTAAAGATCATACCCTCGTATGAGGCCATAAGTCCCCATATATTTTCTCAACTACTTCCAACCTTGTCCTTATGGACTTACCTTTTGTCATTTTTCAGCCTTCCACTTGAACTAACTCACACCTTCTAATAGGTGTTGTACTGGATATGCACCATACATGATGAACACACCTAAACCTGCTCATTCTTATCGTTTAGGTCGCTAATGTTATTTTATCGAAAAACAACTGTCTGGCCTCAAATCCTAAATTCTTCGTTTGGCAGGTCAGGATCAAGCAAATTCATGCTCGAATCTACATTTTTAAAATGGTTTTTCAACGTCTCAAGAGTGAGTGACTCCAGCATATCACTAGAGAGACACAACCCTACTGCAGAGAAGAGTGAGGGACCGCCCTTCCCATGCCAAAGGTTTATTGGAGGGAAAAGTTTCCTATTCCAAAGGTTGGGTGGGATCACCATTTCTCCGAAGCAAAGGTGTGTGCACTAGCCAAAGAGCGTGTGTAGAAAACTGGACAAATTTGATTTCCACCGATAAGAAGCCTCGTACAATAAAAAAGGAGGACATAGATGGTATTCAAAGAATTGATGACTGCCCTTTTAAAACCCCTAACGGGGCCGTCCGCAAGTCCGTCAACGAACGTGGCCACAACAGCCCACTGTCGTTCAAAAAAATTGCCATTAAAGGCCTAATGCCGTCAACACAATTAGCGCCGTTACGCCCGCCGTTTAAACCTAGATTCTTTGGGACCCTTACTCTCTCTCTCTCTTATCTAGGCGGCCATGCTTTCAAATTTCCATTCTCTCGTTCCCTGCAGTTCTCATCATCTTTAAAATTAGGGTTAGGGTTTCTATTGCTTCTCAGCAGCACTGTCTCCCTTTCGTATTGCGATTCGCCTTTTGAATTGGGGTTTGGGCTTATCATCCTCTTGCTTCCTGCTTGTTGTTCTCGGGAGCCATTGAAGATTAGGTTGTGGCTTGGCTCTGGTGTTGTGTTTCCTGTCTCTTCTGCTGCTTGAGGTTTATGTGGTTCGTTTACGGGCGGTTTTAGGGTTAGGCTCGGGGTTTCTTCTTCTCTCGTTCATTGCATGTACTTGCAGGCCATTGAAGAGTGGAAGTGAAGGTTGGATTTGGTGTTTCATTCTTTTATTTTAAAAAAAAAACTTATTCTGCAGTTTTCACCTTCATGTACAAGTGGTTCTAGGGTTAGGGTTAATTTTTGGGGGTTTTTGTTCTTGATGGGCAAGGTCTTTGTGGAATGGGAAGAGCGCCTTGTGTCGAATGACAAGGGGAGGCGTGTTGTCCATTATTATCTAAAGGACAGAAATGGAGTTCCAGATCTAGCAGTTATTGGAGAAGAGAAGAGCTTAAGGCATATGTTTTATAGGGTGCCTGATCAGTTCCTGAGACATGTGCAGTTTTCTGAGTTTATGGATTCTACATCTCTGAGATGGAGGTCAAGAAGAGAGGTTGTGGATTGGTTATCTTCTTTCCTTGCGGTGTCTTCGGATGGAGGCCAAGAGACCAAAGCAGGACAAGAGATCAAAGGTACGTGCCGTAGATCTTCAGATCCGGTCTTTTGTGGACGAATTGCATGATTTATTTATTTGAGATTGGGGTTTAGGGTATTCCTTGAATGGTTGATTTGATGTTTTGGTGGAAAATGTTTCTTACATGAGGGTTTTAGGTGAAAGATGGTATCTTGAAGCCTTTGCTGTCTTTTGGTTCGGTTTCTCATGCATTTTCTCACTGTTAATTCACACACTCTTTTTCTCTCTCATTCTCTCTGCGATTTCCTCCCTTTCGTTTTTAAATTCCTATTTTTTTTATCTTTTTCTTTTTTCTCTCTCTGCGTACACGCGTCTAGTTTTCTTCTTATTTTTTCTCTTTTTTTCTCTTTCTATAGGCACTCGTCTAGGTTTCTTCTCCTTTTTTCTCTTTCTGTGGGCACTGGTCTAGGGTTCTTCTTTTTCCTTTCTTTATGGTTGCTCGTCTAGCTTTGGATCTATGTTTTTGTAGGTTAAATACTGTCATGCAGATAGCGGCTGAAATTTTTGCAGTGGATTATGTCATGAGTATGAGGTTGATTCCTCTTCTTCCTTTTATGTTTTTGCTCTTTTTTCTTTGGGGTGTTGGTGAGGTTTGGTAAAAGGCTAAAAACGAGGTTTTTTGTTTTTGTTTTTTTTGAGGTGGTTTGGACAAATATGGAATGAGGTAACTATTTTGCATGGGTGGGCTAAATATTAGTGTTCTGAGATATTGCAGTTTTAACATGGTTTTCCTTGACGTAATTGGTGTCTTAAGTATTTTCACGTTTTAAGTTTTGTTCCTTTTGATGAACTCTAGATATATTGGGTAGTCGAGTTTTTTGCCTTCTTATTTTGGTGGTTTGGGTAGCAGGAGGCTTGTCAAGGTCTAGATCTGCACCAATTTAGGGAACCTGGTCAAGTATCTTTTTTACCCCGGTGGATGTTATAAACTACGATTGTAGTTCTCACCTCCTTAAACAGGGTGAACCTAGCAATCAAAGACAAATATCGTTATATTTACTTAATTCATTTTTTTGTTTGGTTATATTGACTCCACATTTTAAGAAACAGATATGGAGCTTATAAATATCAGAGGTTTTGGTGATAATGATTGGGCTTTTCTCATTCTCTCATTGGGTATGTGCTGTGGATCTTGGTTTTAAAGGTGAACATGATAATTCCTCAGGGAGAGGGATCTAAAAAGGGAGAATTCTGGAAGTTTTGATTTTATATTTATTTTCTTTTTTCTTGCCTTAGTTATTTTTGGATCAAAAAGTTTTATATGTTAATTTTTCTATTTTTTTTAAAGCAAATTGAGGAAATTCCTTTTTATTTGCATGCTTGAGGATATGGAACACCTTCGTGAAGGAGTAAAAGTTCAAATACCACATTGTTCAATTTCATGAATGATATTTTTTACTAATTTATTTAAAAAATTATCTTATTTTCATGATGTGGCATGTCAGAGATTCAACTAAAAGTCTGGTTCATTGCCGCATTACTCTATTAGATTTGTGATATTATGTAACGGTAAACCTGTACTCCAGCCAGGGTGCTTTGGGCATCCCAGTCTAGTTAGTCCCTTTTGAGCTTTTTTTTTCCCCCTGTATTTTGGAGCATTTGTGTGTTATCTTAGATGGATTAACTTATTAGATAGCATTGCCAGGTATAGGGCACTGGCCTTTATTAAATGATGATCCAAACTTCCAAAATGAAGTAACATGGACACGTAAAGCCATTGGAGTTTAATATAAGGATTGCTATTTACTGTATTTGCCTGATATGTTAATTGATAACTTTGGGTTTTTTTTTAGGTTTGTTCTTGAGATGTGAATAGGTTAATCTTTGTGGATAAAAACTAGTATTCTTCATTGTTTTTTCATTTAATTTGAGAGTCTGTGGTGATAGAGAACAATATGGGGTGAGGGGAACGGGGATGGGCATTGGTGGTGGGGAGGCAGGTGCCTCAACAACGCCGTGGGCTCCATTCCCACTGTTAACACTTCAGGGTAAAAAACAGAGAGAAAAAAAAATGAACAATAAGGGGTGGAGTGAGATTTGAAGGATAGCTACTTTTGTGCAAAATTGGTGGCAGCCCTAGAGGGACTTCTTCCTGTGGGTCTAAAATTTGACCATTAGGTGTCAGGACTTGCTGTCTGGTATTCTGTGTTCTGGCTAACCCAGATAGGGTAGAATGATCTGTTTTTTTATACTATCATTATTCTTTTTTGTTATGATAATCTAAGGGTTGGCTAAACATTGGCTTCCAAAATATTCACAGAGTTGCCAGTAGGGGGGAAGGAACAAAATTTATAGGGTATTAAGGCAACTCACCAACATTGCTGTGCATGCTAGGCCTGCTAATGCAGGAATCTCTATCATTTTTCTACTAGTACTAATGACAAACCTCATGAAAAAAAATTAAATCCATATTTTTAAGTGAAAATCAAACTCCCCTTTTTGGGTGAGAATTTCCATATGGACAAAATATGAGGCAGATATTCTCGCTTGAGTAGAGGGATCTCCATACATGTTGAGACGAGGCGATGAACGGCTTTTCTGTTGTCCTACTATTTATAAATCTCTATTTGTTTGATCATATGGTGCAACATGGTGTATGCTCCCTCAGTCCTTTGATATCTTTATGCTAACCTCGACTATCACCGGCACTGAAAAGGCTCTAATTCTGACAACATTTTCTTTCTGAGAGAATTGATTCAAAACTGGAACCTGTAGGTTTGCTGTTCATGGGAGTGTAGAGTACTGTTGGGGGAGTGTAGTGCTTTGTGCACGTACCAATAATAGACTAACGTTTAAAAAATAACTCAACAATTTTATTAGTGTATGTGAGGTGGCCCCTTGCTGCCTGGGAGTCCCCTTATATAAAACTGTTTATGATGATACAACAAAACACCTAAGCCCTTTGGTCTAATGTTGTGAGAAGTGGTTTTATATGAGAAACATCAAAGGTCTTAACTTTCGGATGTTTCTTCAATGTAAACTAAGTTTACCAATAAAAATGGAAAACTATGTAGTAATAAATATTCTATTAGCATATCATCATCATCCCAGCCTAATTCCAACTATTTGGGGTCTGGTTACGCGAATCCTGATCAGCCATTCCGCTTTACCAAGGGCCATACCCCCAGTTACACACATGAGATACATTGGTTCAAAACTTGTGCCAAAAGTTTTATGCTGGCTGTGAATCTAACACAATCCTTAACCTTTCTCATAAGGGCGATGGCGGAGTTCCTATAATCATATACTTACTACAAACAAAATGGTTACTACTTATTAAAATAAGGTTTCCTTATCATCTTGAACCTGCACTATGACTCTAACATCACATTTACCTATTAAAATAAGGAAGTTTCCTTATCATGTTGAACCTGCACTCTGACTCTAACATCACCCTGCAATCCCTGTTAGATCATGTTACGACTGCAAAGTTCGCATGCTTGATCCCCTTGTCTTCCAGCCATTTATCATGCATAAGTAAAGCTTTTCCCAAAGGAACACCTCTGTTTACCTGAATTTGCTGAATATATGAATGTATTATCATGCAATATAGCATCTACATTATACTCTATAATAGAAATTTGATCTCCTTCGCATGTAATCAATAAAAAAAAATCTCACCCATCATATGTAGCATTTATTATTATTTATAAATTTTTAAATCTTTTATTTTATTCTCTAACAAATATGTCGATTGTAATAAGTTTAAACTGACTCTAACAATAATTGGGGTTTATTGCTTTGCAGATTCTGTTTCTTTTCAATCTTCTCCAATGCATTCTAGATTTGTTGATGATGAGGATGGCTCCCCTGATAGAATTCCATCAACAAAGGTAGGCTTTTGGTTTGGCTTCCAGTTATTTTTTAATACAGCGCTTACCTGTTGCCTCGTGCTACTTGCTACTACATAGTGTTGATTTATAATGCTTTGCATCTTGATTTTCTTTGTTTTTTATTTTATCTAACCAGGGTATATCTTCGAGGAAACTGAGACACAATTCTCAAGATTTTGCGTGGTTAGGTACTCCTTGGACTTGCAGGAAGCGTCTCCGGCATTATGTTTCGTTTTCCAGGAATGGAGTTACCATTTCTGTGAGTTTCTTCCCCACAATCTCCTTTTTGCTAAACTGACATTTTCGAATTTATTTTGTGTAATTGCAATTTCTACTCTATTGTTATATCAGGTGAATGAGTTTGTATATGTTATGGTGGAAGATAATGAGAGACACGTCGCATATGTTGAAGACATGTATGATGATTCCAGAGGGAGAAAGAAGGTTTTAGTTCGTTGGTTTAACAAGATTAATGAGGTTGGTAATGTCTTGCCTTCCAATTTTAATGACAGAGAGATTTTCTGCACTCCCTGTCTTCAAGTTCTGAGTGTTGAATGCGTAGATGGTTTGGCAACTGTCCTCAGTCCCCTACACTTTGACAAGTACGTGAAAGAGGCAAGAAGCACACGTTGGCAACCGTACTTGTGTCATAGAGAGATTGACAATGATGACATCAAGCCATATAACATAACCCAACTCCAGGGTTATTGGAACCAGAAAATACTTAGTTACATGTACACTTCCACCCAAAATGACTACTCAAACCATTTACCCAGTCCTAGCTTGAGTAATGATGAGGCAGATCTATTGGATGGCCATCATAATAAGATACAGAAAAACCACATTGAATCCCTGAGGTTTAATTATGGGGATGTCCATTTACGCGTTGATGGAAATGCTAAAGGTACATCAATGGAGATCCATAATTTTGGTGGCTCTAATCCTTTTGCTTATACTCAATCAGCTGTGTCTTTGCCAAAATTTGAGGAAGAAAGACAACAACAGCTCTCTGCCAATTGTCCCATTGAAGTGCTATCACAGGATAGTGGGATAAGGGGGTGTTGGTTTAGAGGTGTAGTTTTAAAGAAGCGCAAGGATAAAATGAAGATTCGATACCTAGACCTTCAAAATGCAGAGGAAACTGGTAGTTTAGAGGTAAGATCTCGTGCAATTCGAGTGGGTTTCACTGATCAATGATTGTTGAAATGTTGGTATATATGTTTTCTCAAATATTTGCGTTCTTGTCTGTTTCATGAATTTACTATTAGAACTTAATTTTATTTTTTTAACTGATTGTTGTTATTGGTGTAGGAATGGGTTCTTGCTTCGAGGGTGGCATCTCCCGACAGATTGGGTCTTCGCCTATGTGGGAGGCATATGGTTAGACCCTCTCCTGCACCGAACAATAGATGCACAGACATTGATATAGGCTCTTTTGTGGATGCATGGTGGCATGATGGCTGGTGGGAAGGGCTTGTTATTCACATGGAATCTCAGGATCTTATCCATGTATATTTCCCAGGTATAAAACTCCTGGCCACCTTCTAAATCCATGTCTCTCTCTTGATAAGCATTGTGAAACCATACTAGGATTCTCTGGGTTATGAAAATTGATATAGTCCCATGGGTCATCACCATTGAATGAATTTTGCACGGTGGAGAGTGGGATCCACCAGGAATAGACATGGTCCTAATGGCAGGATCCACTCACCTTCTGTCGCTTTCATTGGGCTCTGTGGACACCCAGTGGACTATTATTATCCATAGTCTATTGTAATGTAGCATACTTCTCCATGGACATTATTTTTCTTTGTTGACTTACCTTAAATCTGATTGCTGTCTTAAATATTTATAAAGCACGGTACTCGTTTGTAAACTTATGAAAAAGCTGAAACTTTTTCAGGTGAACAAAAGACCTCAGTATTTGGTTCCGACAAATTGCGATCCTCTCAGGAATGGGTCAATAATAAATGGATTGCCATAAAGAACAGGCGTGATCTTGCAGTGACTCTTTTTTCAAGGCTTGATGGTCAAAATATAGGAATAACTTTCAAGAGCTCCCAAGTGTTGGATTTTGAGAGATTGCACGAATCCACATGCCCGGATGGCTTTAATCCATCTATGGCCTCAGTGGAAGAGAAGGCCTCAAATAAAAGCCCAAATCTTAGAGAGGGGTTGTCTTCTTTGGGGGCATTGAGCAAACCATTGGCTGATGGCAAGAGTGAGAAAGTAGCTGGGGTAGTGAACCTCGCTCGAGACAATTCGCTTGCTTCTCTCCGATGGAACAGGTCAAGGAAGAGAAGCCGGCTTAGAGAGAGTATTGTTTCTCTTTCTAATAAAAGGCATTCTAGTGGTAGTAGTAGTAGAAGCAGCAGCAGTGAAGAGGAAGATTTGGGTAGTTTCGAACATGGTTTCTTGATCCCAAAAGTGATGAAACGAGACAGAGAGAATTGCAAGTCGGGCTTTGGTGCTACATTGCCTCACCTTCCAAATTTGGTTATGTCAAGCTAACCACTGCTTTTGTTTTTGCGCTCATCCTCTTCATCATGCATGGATGCTTGTATTATACCAAGGTAACTTCTGGGTTAGTGCGATTGAAGGTGACCTTCCTCATACCTTTCTGTGAATATTTGGGTTTGGTAGGTTTCCTAGGTTCGCCTGCTTCATGGCTTGTGATGAAGCAAAATGATCAAAGCCATTTCTTGGGGCTACTGCCAATTAGGAGATTCCCTGTAATTTGTTTTTCGCTTTTGTGTTTCTTTCTCGCCATGTTTCTTAATGTAAGAAGAAATTTTGAGTAATGTGATGGGAGACTGTTCAGTCTCACCTTTGATTCTCCCATGTTCTTGTGCAGCTTATGTGTGTGATCTTGATATTAAATTCTGCAATTCTTTTTTTTGATTTTTGGGTTGATATTGTGGTTTGTTGTTTGGCTTGCAATTCTTCTGAGGTTTGGTGGTAAATGATTCTTTTCTCAGTTTGGTGCTAATTTGTCCAACTGATGCAACTGTTCTTATGAGTTGGTTTTGTTTTCGATTTTGCCAATCCATGCTTAGTGCTTCCCAGCCTTAAGTTTGCTGCATTATAGTGATCAGTTTGACAGATAGACACCACCTCTGTTCGGTAGAAATTACACAAAGCCCACATTCAGTATTGAAAATATGGCTTCCTACAAAGAACATAGACAACACCCTACAAAGACCATAGTCTCGAACACTATCTATTGCATGTACGAAAGAAATCCACACATCACACAAGTAGAGACTCTCTCTCTCCCTCTCTGCACGTACACTGGTAAACCTACGACCTAGAAAGACCTCTCTCTCTTTCTCTCTCTCTCTCTCAACTCATTAGTTCCAATAGCATATAAGCACCAGCCGTGAAGATCAGTGTCCAGCTTGTGGCTTGAATTTGTGAACTGGAACTCGGTGGGGCATGCCGGATGGGTGTGCTCATGGCGAATGGTGGTAATGCCCCTGTTGGTGACACTGAAATCCAAGAAGGAGAAAGTCAATAAGCGAATATTTCATTAAATTGGATCATCTAAGCAGGTAATGGAAGTGTCAATGCTTGTCATACATACCGGCAGCGGATTGACCTTGGGTTCCATTTTGTGCTGCACCAAGCAACTCTGAGGATTCAAGAGTGGCATGGATCAATAAATAGACAGAGAGAGAAAAGGTTACCTTCACTGTGTGTAGGGAGACGCTGTTATCTAGTGAAGGGGACGTAACTACTGTGTGTTTTTGTGTTTGTGTCTGAGAGAGAGAGTCCATTACCAGGGCAGCGAGATATGTCAACGTGGAGCTGACAAAGTATCGGGAGGTTCAAGGCCAGGGTCTGGTTTACTGCAGGGAAGCCAGCCATCATGGAAGATCCCTCCTGTAAAAGTACACAGATGCACTTTGGATCTTCATTATTGAGCCGCGCCAAACCATCACAACAAGCCCTAGCAGGAGAAGGGAACATTCCCTGAACATAAGGCAAACATGGTGCAAGCATGAGGACCCTAGTTGCACACTCGGCTTGGTCAGCTGTCCCTGCACTGGCCATCAAGAGAAGCCCCACGAATAGTCCAGCACAAGAAATGGAAGTAGAGGCCATTATACTTGTTCTTTCTGCTCTCTGTAAATTTGTTAATGAGAAAAAGGGGTGTGAGCTTCTGTGTGTTTGGTGTTGAGGTCTTTAAATGGGGTGGTATGGCAGTTGGGTTTGTGGGCACACTGGTTCGGCGTGGCCTGCAACATGGGTTCTTCATGGCTTTCACACGTGTGATTCCTTGGTACTTGTTTGAATGTTGGTTTTTGCTAGACTTGGGTAGGGTTGGAGAACACTTACCTCTGTTTTGAGTTCTCTCCCCCATTAATAAGAGATGAGCTAACAAGTGTTAAAAAAAAAATTAAATAAAGCACATCTAAAATAGCTTAAAAAAGTAATGAAAAAATGGATTTTGAAAAAAAATCAATTTGTGACAGGGGTATCTAAAAAGGAAAAGCTTACTATGTTCCCTCTACAACATAAAAGTTATATCTTTCTTCTCATCCAATCCTTCATTTTTTATTGGGAGTTAAGATTGCCTCAATCACAATGTCATGTTTCCACATTATTTTATTTTTAATTTTTTTTTATAAACTATTATGACACCAAATTTTGGAAACTCGCACTAATGAAAAATATAAAAAATGTATTTTTAATAAAATAAAATGATTAAAATACCCTTGAAAGTTTCGAGGAGTATTTTAGTTATTATTTTTTATCGAAAAAATTTTGTTAATATTTTTTATAGATGCGTCCAATGAGAAGATGGTATGTACCAAATTTCATATTCAGAAAATTGGTATTAAAAAAATTAAAAATAAAATACTTTAAAATGTCGGATCTAAGATCAAATGGTGAGTGGCTCTCTTGATAAAAAATAGATGGCTGGATGGTAGGAGGACGATAGAACTTCTATGTTGTAGGTGGACCATAGAAAGCTTTCCCATCTTAAAAATGCAGAATGATTTATATAAGGTTGCAACCTAGAATTAAAGATGCACCTCTAAAATTCATCGAAAAAAGTTGTTTTATTGTTTTTTAATATTTTTAATGTTGAAAAACCTGCTAATTGATCATCTCGACATCGAGATATTTGAATGTAAAAAAAAAGATTTTGAGTCACAGAAATAGTGCATCTTGCAACACATTATCTAGACCATCCACTTTCAAGATTTTCATATGTTTATCGATCTACTTGATTTTGCCCATTTTTTGAGTTTAAAATTTTATAATTAAAATATGAAAATAGATTTTCAGATAATCTTAAGATTTTTTTGGAGGAGCGCCTTAGTTGGATTGTTTAAGGTTGCAACCTTATAGAAACCGCACCCTTGACAAAAAGTACAAAGGTACATGTTATGATAAAATTTGGATGTGCATATTTATTGGATTATTTAAAGTTGCAACTTTATGGAAATCACACCCTTTAAAAATAACCTAAAAAAAAGGAAAAATGTAAAGTTAAGTATTCGTAGCCAAGTCACCTTTTTCAATCTTTGTTAAAATAATAAATAATACAAAAAAAATATTACAAAAAATGTATTATTTTTAAGATTTTTATATATATTTTTTCATAAGATCCTTGAGTTGACCACGCAACTCTAGGAAACTCGAGCTCACCAAGGTGGGGAGTCCAATTTACTCATGTAATTCAATAGCCAAAGGTGATTGCAACCCCTTGTACGAAAGATAAATGCTTTAATTTTATAATTGTTTTTTAAAAAATTTATTATATTCAATACACGGAACATTAAAAAGGCTTTTTTAGTATTTTTTTGGTTTGGTGTCATAAAATATTGAGAAATGTCATTACAGATTCATATTATCTTACAAAATTACTAAAGAGCTAAAAAAAACATTTTACTAGTGTGGGGTTTAATTTCATAAAAACGCCTACTCATAAAAAAATAATCAAATGTTCCCAAGTTACTCCCATTCGAGATTAAGAATCTATGATATTTGACAAAACTTTCAAATGTCAACAATTCCCCTACTTTCAAATTAACCAAGGGCGTATTGGTTATTTCACACTCTTAAAAAAATCAAGGATATTTTTGAGCCACCTAAGTAAGTCAAGTTACTAAAATACCCTTGAATGTTCATGTCCCAAACCTGAAAGGGGTAAATTGCATATTTCAAGCAATTTTTTTTTTTGTGAAATAAAAGTTAAAGTAAACCCTAAGATGGTAAATGAGATTTCTGAGGAATAACTAAGGGAAATTAAAATTGGATAAGTAAAGCTGGCCGGATGAGGTTATATATTTTTGTCTTTAACTCGTATCATTTAAAGGAAAATATGCACGAACAATATACAAGAGAAATTTTAAAAATAGTAAGGAGGTTGGTAATTGTTAAGAAAAATAAGATAAATATATTTTACAAAATCATCGAGGTAATCGAATCATCTCATTTAACATTAGATTGAATATCTTTTTAAGTTCCATTTCACTTATACACATACTAAAGACTATGTTCGAAAATGACGAAATTGCCTTTGTTTGGTATTGAAACTCCTCAATCAATAGAGGCATTTAATTAATTTTGTTTGGTAGGAAAAAGCCCATAACCCCTTGGGGTTATCCTGCGTTTGGAAGAAGAAGTAGGAAAAAGAAGAAGAAATATAGTGATAGTTTCATTCTTCGTTGTCGTAAATAGAACAAGTCGGGCGAACGATGGGGATTGAACCCGCGCATGGTGGATTCACAATCCACAACCTTGATCCACTTGGCTACGTGTAGTGGATTGAGCTATTAATACTATATTAGCAAAGTGGAACTGGCAAATTATAAAAATACCATTTTTTTTTTTTTGGGTTGGCCCCTATCCTTTTGTAGGAATTGAACTTAGATGTTGCAAATTTTCAAGTGCTAACCAATTATGCCCGGACTCTTTTCCTAAACACCGTGGTTGTTTATGTTAGTAACACGACTCACTTTCTTTGGTTTTATTCTTTGCGCTACACGTAAAAACAAATTTTTTTCTCATCATCTTGCTAGGAACACTTAATTGTAGCAAATTATTGATTCAATAATTTTCAACATATTCTTAAGGAAGCACATGACTAAAGTAAAACTTAACAACTAATGATGCTAATGTTAAATGGGATTATCAGACTACTTTAATGATTTTGTAAGTTGGTTCAACCAATTGAAAAATAGTGAATGGTGCAATTTTGAGCTGCAACTTTCAATAATTACTACAACTTGAAGTCATACCAAAAAAACACAATTTTGACACTTGGAAACCTTGCAGTGACTTGCAAATCAATTTCCGCTTCTAATTGTGAAATTTGAGGCTCCAAAATATGAGTCGTGAACACTTGAAATGATGGTCAAGAAAATATATTACAAGATGAACTAATTTTCGAATTTAATTTTGTTTTTCAAATCTATTATGCTGAGGTCAATGATCAATTTATAAATTTTTGGACTGAACTGCATTTTTCTCAAATGAGATTTGAAGTGGAGAGCCTTATGCCTAAAAATACTTTGCCTATAGAAAATCAAGATGTAAATAAACTTCTATTAAACTCATACCAAACTAGTAGAGGCTGTAAATTGAAATAATCCTCGACAATAAACATTATTAGATTAAAAAATATTTAAGAATAAGATAAGATGAGATGCCCTTTATTTGAAAATATCATTATCCCTTCTAGAATCAAGACTCCATTCCCTTTATGTGAAAATTTTATTCTATATTATATAATTGCAAAGATCATCTTGCCCCTGAGGCTATTCTTCCTTCTATATTTCCCTAGCTATGGCCCATCATGCTCTCTGTATAGCTATTACCCTCCTGTTCTTATATAAAATGTTTTAGGGCAGAGAAACTGACCAGAAAGCTTTTGGTTTTTTAAAATAAGAATGGCATTTGAGGAGTGGACTTTTACAAATTACTTTATAAAGGTCTTCATTTTAAAATTTTCACACATGGATCGTAATAGTGAATTGCTAAAAAATCATTTATCTTTAGTACAAAGAGGTGACTGTCACTTCTTATAATCAAATGTTAAATTCAACAGCTTAGGTTAGCATAAAAGGTTTAAAATTTTTTTCTTGAAACTTTGAGCTTAAAGCACACCTCCAATAGATATTTCATGTCCAAAAGATGATTGTAACCTCCTTGAATAAAAAATAACCTTATTGGATGATTTTTTTAATTAGAAAAGGAGATATTTTTCTTCTTTGTTATTATAAAGCACTGTTGTATGATGAAAAATTTACACTAGTATTCTATCAAATTGCCCCTATTTAACCCCTAAAAGCCCCCATCAAAAGTTTGTTTTTTATATTCATACCTCTATTTTTTAATTTTTAAAATTTTTCACAAACTACCCCTTTTTTAGGTCCGAAGTTGAGTTTAAGCTTTCAAACAATTTAAGACCTTGAAGGTCTGAAGTCCCAAACACTTCGAAACATCAAGATTCAAAGTTGAGTTAATTTGAAAAAAAATTAAAAATAATAAACAAGAACGTGACGACGAAATTTTGGGGGGAATTTTTAAAGGAAAATTCAACAATATACACATGAGATATCAACTATTTAAGATATTAGTTTTGCCTTTTAATTTAATTTCAAAACAAATAAAAAATACACCTTACTATGAGTTGAATAGTTGAAAAAATACTAAATTATTGAAATATTGAAAATTAAAGTTTATTTTAATAAAGGACATGGCTTCTATAAAGCCTAAGATTTATGAAAACAAAATAAAACCTTATTTCAAATCTTTGTCCCGGCATAGAAAATATCCATGATGGTTCTAAAATCAATTTCCAACACCAACAATAAAATTTGAATTGTAATTTTGGATTTGTGAACACTAATTTTTGGGGAGAAAATGATGGTCTAGATACTTTTTTATAATATACACTATTTTTAGAGCTTGATTTTTTTTTTTTTCACAAGCATAATTGTTCAAGTCGAGTGATCGATGTAAAGGTTTTCCAATACTTTAATTGTAATTTTGCATTGGTTATGAGGTGAGGCTTTACCTATTTTAATAGGACTGCCGCCTATGAAACCATTTTCCTTTAATAAATTTCTCATTTTTAAATAACCGATATTTGGATGGATATTCACACAATTTTCCGCTACAATAACATCGTTATATGTAAAGTTGTTTTATGATATGTAACATTGAGGAATATCAAATTCAACCCCAAAAACCGGACAATGTTTATATCAGTCCTAGGGCTCATACGTGGAAATGCGTTCCCTCTTAAAAATTTATTTATGAGGTGGATTTTAGATCTGATTTCTAAGGAATATACCATCGATATTCATGTGAATAAAAAAAATAAAAACTAAAAATAATAATTTATATAACAAAATATTTAAACCATTAACTTTTTTTTATTTTTCTAAAGAGGGAGCACCCTTTGCATCCATCCTAGTGGTCGACGTTTTATGCCTCAGGGGATGCAAATGTAGAAATACGTCCCTCGACGCATACTACACTTTTAAAGGATCAGCCAGTCGCTTCTCTCTCCCTTAATCGTCGTGAGGACGAAAAAACGAATTTCCCTTTCTGTTACACACAACCCGAAACCCTAATCACACACCTTCCATCTCTCTTCCCGTAATCCAACCTCGTTTAAGTGCCCTCCCCTCCTTCCTTTCCCGTATTCCCTTATTCATTTCTGAAAAACCCTAATTTTTTTTCTCTTCTTCTTCTTCTTCCCCTTTTTGATACCTAAAATTTTTACAGGAGGAACTCTGAGTCTAACCCTAACCCTAACCCTAATTCTTCTTCGTCTTCCTCTCCAATTCACTATTTTTTTTGCACGAATACTTTTCCATTGTTCCACTGTTCTAGATCCGAACGCATTTAATGGGCTCTGTTGAAGCAGAAGCACAAAGAAAACACAGAAGGTCACCTGAAAAAGAAGAAGAAGAAGAGGAGGGAGAGAGCACGCAAGCATCAAAGAGAAGAAAACACCATGGACGTCACCACCACCATCACCACCACCATCGAAGCAAGAACAAGCATCGGAAGCAGACAAAGGATTCCCAGCCTGTTACTGCCATGGCTGAAGATGATAAGGAAGAAGGTGAGATATTTGAGGAAGGAGAAATCCCTGGAGTGAAGGAGAGCATTTTAGTGGAATCAGAAATTGAATCGGGAGAGATAAAGCCTGGTGATTCAATCTTTGATGATATATCAACCAAGAAACTTGTGCAATCCTCGCCTTCAAAGGTATTGCTTGAATATTTGCAGTTTGTCACCGTTCTTTGTCTGTCATTAAGAATTTACTTTGTAATTGTCGTCATATTTTTATCCTGTTTCTTCTTGTTTTGAATTAACTCTTGCTATTTTAATTGAACTCATTCTCTTGTTGGATAATTGACCAATCCCAGCCTTCTCAAAAGGGTCTTGCTGTTATTTGCTTGTGACTAGCTGAACAATGTATGAATTGTTGCATGTTCCTTTCTTGTATTAATATTCTAAGTCTAGAAGTAGTTGTCTATCTCTCAAATTGGGTTGTTAGTCTAGTGGGGGGTCATATTCCTAGTTTTGGGATTCAATATTATGACTTAGGGCAAACTGGAACCGGTCTGATTTTCCTTTTTATCTTGGGGTTCTGAATATGATTAGCCTTTCAAAGAAGAAATGTTTAGTCCACTTTCTTGGGTCGTTGATTATTTTGGACATGGTGTACAGTTACTTTATTTTTCGTTAAGCATTGTTCTCTACCGTAGTTTACTTAATTAATCACTTTCTATTGTTTTTGACTAAAGAGATTACTGCATGTTGCTGGTACAAGGCCTTTAGTACTCATTTTTGGATGTTCATATTGGTGATTCTGTTATTTGGATGCTCACTTTACAGTCTGTTAAGTGGCATTTATGATGTTGGTGCAACACTTTATCCATGTATTGGGTCAAGATTTATTGCTGTTTGTTCTTAAATGGCATTGCATTGGCATATAATAAATATACCAGTTTGAATGATTAGCGATTAGCTCAGAATTGATGAAAAAAATATATGCTAGATCCCTAATTGTAAATGAAAAGGATATCTGTCTAATAAAGAAGACATTTGGGCCTTACTTGTATTGCTGATATGAGGGGCACTTGGGAATGCTATTATATAGTTGTTGTTGGCTTTCTTCCAAGTGATGTTTGACTTGTTGAAATAGACCTATCAGTGGATTATTTGGTGTATTGACCTTCTTCTTTGTCTCTGAAAGACACAGTAGACCCTGGGCTTTGATGATTGGAAATCTAAAGTGATCTGCTCCCTAGAAAAGCCACTATGTCTTGTTTAGGTAGCACATGGCACTCACAAGATCTGTTCTTCTATAGTTTTAGGTACCAACTTCAATGTTTGTGTACCCCATAGGCTTTGAAAGGAGTTTCTATTGGAGATTGGCTGATGGTGGGTCAAGAGTATTTGAAGGCCATCTGATATAGCATTAAAGAGGCCATCAAGCAAATTTTGGGGGATTTTTGGTGTGAGGATGTTCCTGTTTTTTTGTGTGTTTAACTTGATCTTTTTAGCCTTTTTTTTTTTTTTTAAACCAAAGTAGATGGGCCTTTTAGTTCTGTGGTGGATTGGAATGTTTGCGGCGACTCTTCTTTTTACACACTAAGGTGTTGCTTGGGATGTAGTGTTGGTTCTGATATTTTAAAAGAAATGTTTGAGATGTGGAAATGATCCAGCCCTAAAATGTGGTTTTGTTTTTCAACCTTTGTGGCATTTGTTGTCTCAAAGTAGGATCTTGTTATGTAATTTAATTTGAAGGTATAAGCTGATTGTCTTTGTAGCCAATTAGTTGTGATGCTTTTGAAAACTGGACTTGCCATTAAACTGGATAGGCATCTTGTATGGTCATTCACAGTGAAGTCTTAGTCGAATTGGTGGGTTTGATTGCATCATATTGACATCCCAAGTATATAAAGAAATTTGACAAATTTGGATGTCTTTTTCAATGCTCAATAGGCCCCTTATTTCTGGCCACTGGTGGCATTATATAGAAGTCCATGGTTCCAACAAAATGTTCAAAAATGTTCTTTGATATCTTTATAAGAAGTTTTGTTCTTAATAGTTTTGGATAGCAATAAAAGAACATATTTATTCTCTGTTGTTTCTAGTAACTTCCTTGAAAATCCTGGCGGTAAAATGTTACATCCTTATAGATTCTTGTGCTTATTTGTCATCTATTTAAAGGTTGTTCATGTCGATACCAAGGGTGATGAGAACATGGGAACTTTTAATTGGTATGAGAAGAATGCAGATGGTAAGGTTGAGATGAAGGTAAGAATTGGTTACAGAAATATTTTTTATGAACTGCAGTGCAAACTTTCTATAGTTCTTGAGAAGAAACTATGTGCAAATATGACGGGGGTTATGAAGCATTGATTCCATGGTATAAATGTTTTTGCAGGATGATGTTCTGAATGGAGAAGATTTAGAGGACTTATCTGCGGACACAGACACCGTTAAACTTCGCGGATGCTCTGTACATCAAGAAGATATTGGTCAGGGCTTCACACGTATTGATTCTAAATTGCATGATAAGGATGCCGAGTCTAGGAAAAAAGGGGACACCTTATTGAAAAACAATGCTAAAGATCTCAAATCCATGAAAAGAAAGGATGTGTCTTTTCAATATGATGACGTTTTTCAATATGATGACGTCCACATGAGGCAGCTATCTATTTGTAATGGGGAGACTCTGCATGGTAATTTTGAGGAGGGTGTTCATTCACGTAATGAAAGAAAGAATCGGGATGCCTACTCCAGCACTAAGATCTCCATCAATGATACAAGGATTGATACGAAGGAAAGATCGCCAGTTGCTAAAGAAAAATCAGCCTCCACAAAATATAGGATAAGTGATGCTGCTGAGGATATTGCCAGGAAGTCTCATGATGCAGAGCATAGATCTGCCAAAAACAATGAAAGAAGACACTCAGAGTCCATAGAACTTTGCAGGGATGGTTCAGTGCATAAGAAACATTCTCTTTCACCTGAAAGTTTCAAGGATGATCACGACAGAAGGGGCCATTCTCAATTAAAAGATAGGCAACACGATGATGTTTATACCAGGCATATGCCTAGCTCTCGTGATTCTATTACGGAAAGGGTGTCCCAATCTAGAGATCACAGGGTCAGATCTCGATCTTACGACAGGTATCATGATGATGACCATGGAAGGAACCGGTCAACGTCACGTGAACATGCTTATGAAAGGGCATCTCGATCTCGAGATACAACACATGACAGAGGCTATTCTAGAGACGTTTATGAGAGGATTTCAACATCTCACCATTCAAGGTCGTACAAGGATAGCAGTGATCTAGCAAGACGTTCTGTTTCAAGGGAAAACAGGAAGATTGATACTGATCGTGATAAGTTAGGGCATCATGTACTTGATACTAGAAGGGATCGTCATGGTAGTCGAGACCATGACAGAGGTAATCGACATGGCAGTCGAGATCTTGACAGATTGGAACAGCATGGTAGTCGAGACCGTGATAGAGGTGCAGACAGGGATTGGGTGCGAGATAGGGACGGTAGTCATAAAGATGGTGATGGGGTTTTAAGTAGACGTGGTGGGAGAGATGGTGGGCATGGAAACCGTGATCGTGACAGAGATAGTTATGGAGAGAGAGACAGGGACAGGGATAGGGATAGGGATGGCGATAGGGAATGGAATAGGCAGAAGACTATGGATATGGATAAGGACAAGGATAGGAATAGAGAGAGGAATAAGGATAGGGATCGAGACAGGGTTAGGGATAATTGGGATGGTAAATACGATGGACGTTATCACAAAGATCGACGTAGTGGTCGAGACCGGCCTAAGGATTCCAGAAATGAGAAGTCTGATGAACGGGAACGTGGCAGGGATGGTGTGATGAAGGATTCTCGTGAAGGCCCTGATAGCAGCAGGTAGATATTCAACCATGCTCTGACCTAAGTTGCATTGGAGTTATCATATTTAGGTATTCTTGAACGTAATTATACATGAAATTTATGTAGGTAACTTAGCCCAAAAATAGGAATATTTGCTTTTCTTTAATCAAATGGGGTCTTTTGCAGAGAGGATGATGCTGAAGAGGATTATGAAGAACGAATTGCACTGCAGCTAGCAGAGCAGGAAGAGGAAGATGTTGAGAGGGTGAAAGAGGAGAGCAGAAAGAGGAGGCAAGCGATTCTGGAGAAGTATAAACAGCAGCAGGCACAGCAACAAGCAGAGTTGCTTCAACATGATCGAACAGGAGGTGATGAGCTAGTCTTTGTTTTTTTCTTTGGAGATATCGACTTCAGAATTAAAACAATAAGTTGGTTGGGTTCTTTATGGCATACACTTGGTTTTTTTTTTTTTCATTTTTGTTGAGTAGTTTTTGCCTTGCTAACACATATCTTGGACAGAGGAGGCATCAGATACTGATAAAGGGCAGGACGAGCAGTTGATTCAGGTGGTAAATTCTGAGGATAGTACAAATCCAGTTCGTGCTGAAGGAAGTAACAATAAGAATGATATATCAGATTTGCTTGTTGCTGATCCGTCATTCTCTCTGAGGAAGTCTCCTCTGCAGAATGGAAATTTGACGTCGGAGAGGCCATTGGGTGCTGGTGGACTTGGTGATGGTTCTCCAAAGGTTTGTAAAGTATTTATACTTCTAATTAAATTTTAGAATATGTATTTTTTTCTTTTTTTTTTCTTAATCGAGAAATCAGGCTGTGCATCAGGAAATAGACTTGTTGTGTTTCATGATGTAGTAGTACATGCATGTGTTATGTGTCTGATTAATGTTGCCGTTATTGTGATTGAGTGGGAAGTGATTTCTTACACACTTATCTTAGAGGTTTCTTCAGGTGAAATATTGACTTGTTAATTGTTGTAGTAGCTTGTTGTGTCATGATCATGGCGTTCATGCTGCCATGGTCAATTGGTTTCAAAAGTTTGAAAGTATCTTATTGTGTTCATTTGTTTGCTTGGTGCAGAGTGAGAGGTCAGAAGATATGTTCTGTGATGATATATTTGGAGAATCACCTGCTGGGGTCCGTAAACCGGTAATAATCTTGAATATTTATATTCAATTGATTAATTGTTTGTTTTTTTGTTGGCTCTGTATAACTACTAGTACTCTTAATTCCTTGCTTATTACGCTTAGTTGTACATGATGCTGGTGCTTGTAATATGTTGTTTATGATGATGTGTCATCGTTTTTGATTAATCGATGCATGTTAGTTTTGTTTCACTTACTAGAGCAAGATTGTGCTGTTTTCGATTTGTTTTATGCAATTAGATGCCATCTCTTTTTTTTTTTATGGGTCGTACTTGCACATTAGTTCTGTTTCTATGCTGTTTCTGATGCCATTCTTGGCCATGAAAGATTTGTAGATTGTAGTCTCACATATTTCAAACTTTTCTTGAGTGATGCTGGTCAAATATGCACCATTGCACCACCTTCTAGAAAGTTTGTTTTACTATTGTGATTAGTGTGAAATTTACATTTTGAAGTACTTATTTTATTATAGCTGTTGTTCTTTAAGCCATGCTACGTGACTTGATTTGGATAGTGGTGTTCTTTTTCTCATCAATGACACGTGACTCATATTCCAACTTCCAAGTAATCAGTTTTATTACCTGTTTCGTATGCTGGATGGTCTTCAGTTTTTGTATATTTATGTGTGATAATTTTCTGGAAATTGTTTGTGGTGTATGCTTGGTGCTGTATGAACGCAGCTGTTCTTAGATAAGACAGGTGTTTTCTCAATGTCTGTGTTACACAGTTTAGCTGATGTGATTCATCCTAGAGGCAGAGAATACTTCTGCTTTATAGTCGGTTCTTATTTTCGTTTTCAGTTTTTGTGATTATTATTAGATCCCTGCCTCTTCCTGGTCAAGTTTACCAAATAAAGTTTGATTATATTATCTATACCATTTTGACTTAGGCTGTTGATTGTTTAGATACCGTATTCATAGGTATTCTAATTCATTTGCCCATGATTTTAGGGTAAAGGTGATGGATTGCATGTTGATAGGAGTGGACTTCATGACAACTGGGATGATGCCGAAGGATACTACTGTAAGTCCTCAATCTAGCACTCATTTCTCAATGGGTTTGGGTTTGTAAATGTATGTGTATGCATGGACTTTTTTAAGTTGTTCTAGACTATGCAATGTGTGCTTTCTATGAATATCTCGTGTGTAGGGTTTCTGTAATTTTAGTCAGATTTCTTTCTATACAGGTCACCGTATTGGAGAAGTTCTTGATAGCAGATACGAAGTTACTGCAGCCCATGGTAAAGGTGTATTCTCCACAGTCGTTCGTGCGAAGGATCTTAAAGCTGGGAAGGAAGAACCTGAAGAAGTAGCTATTAAAATCATACGTAATAATGAGACCATGTAAGTTTTATGTTGTATTTTCTTGTTGAAATAATTACTGGTGATATTTTTGAAAAATGTTCTGATCTGTTTCATAATTCCTATGACAAAGGTACAAGACAGGTTTAGAGGAGCTTATCATACTGAAGAAGCTGGCCGGGGCTGATCCTGAGGATAAGCGCCATTGTGTTAGGTTCATCTCAAGTTTTAAGTACAGGAATCATCTTTGTTTAGTTTTTGAATCACTTAATATGAATCTTCGGGAGGTTTTAAAGAAGTTTGGTCGTAATATTGGCCTTAAACTAACTGCTGTAAGGACGTATGCAAAGCAGCTTTTCATTGCATTGAAGCATCTTAAGAATTGTGGTGTCCTGCACTGTGATATAAAACCAGATAATATGCTGGTAAGCATGCTTTGTATCCTTCAATATTGAATTGAAAGCTTCCTGCTGGATTGAAGGTTATTTGTTTGTAGAATTGTTCTGAAACATTTTATGCGCATAGAGTAGCAATCTTGTGATAAAGTTGCAATCTTGTGATATATTTTTAACTTATTTTGTATTTACATGCAGGTAAATGAAGCAAAGACTGTGCTCAAGCTTTGCGATTTTGGTAATGCCATGTTTGCGGGCAAAAACGAGATTACTCCGTACCTTGTGAGTCGCTTTTATCGTGCCCCTGAAATAAGTAAGTTTTCTCTCTGATTGCTGAGCATTTCTTGTTTATGGTGGTAGGTCTTTGTTTTTTCTGTTAATTTTTTTATGGAGGACTATTGGGTGGTATCTGTGCATTTGTAGTCATGATCATGTTTGTTGCATTTGTAGTCATGATCATATTTGTTCTATTTTCTTGGGCACGATTTGGGTGTATATGCATTCTTTGATTTCCTCAGTGGGTATATGTGTACTTGCATGTGCGGGAAAAGGGAATTCATATTTTGTAGCTTGAGGAATCGGATCCAGATTATTGATTAATTGCTTTCCTTTCAGTTCTTGGGTTGCCATACGATCATGCTCTGGATATATGGTCGGTTGGTTGTTGCTTGTATGAGCTTTATTTAGCGAAGGTCCTCTTTCCTGGTCCTTCAAACAATGATATGTTGCGGCTTCACATGGAATTAAAGGGTCCCTTTCCAAAGAAGATGCTCAGGAAGGTAATGATTATCATATAGTTTCGTAGATCTCTATTTGGAATTAAGAGAATGGGAATTTGATTTTCAGTTTTCATTTATGAAAATCATGCACTTATTATTATTATTGACCATCATACAATAGATTGTGATACGTCTAATGTCTAATCTCTTAGTGGAATTTATGTGTCGTGTTCCAAAAGGTGTCTTCCTAGTTACTCATGTATCCATCAGCTGTGGAAGTTATGTAATCTGTGCTTGTTCAACTTTGTGTTCCTCGTACACCAATATTTATCTTACTGTCATTTTTATTCTCTTTTTTTTTCCTTGTTTTTCTCCTCCTTTATGGTGCTACTGCAGGGTGCTTTTACTGATCAGCATTTTGATCAAGATTTGAACTTTCATGCTACAGAGGAGGATCCTGTTACCAAGAAGGTAGATATTTCTTTCTCGAGTGGATTTTGGGTTTTGTTCATCTTGGTTTTGTTTCAACTGTGGTTACTAAGTAGAAAAGCCTTGTAAGACAGTGTAGAGCAAAGAAACGTACTACTTATTAAAAGAAGTGATCAAAGAAGAGTTAATTTGAAAAGTTCTTGTTCTAAGTGTATTCTATTTGTTGTGTTTGCAGACTATAAAGAGGATGCTTGTGAACATCAAGCCCAGGGATATTGGTAGTCTAATATCACCTTCCCTGGGTGAGGACCCCAAGATGTTGAATAATTTCAAAGATCTCCTTGAAAGAATATTTGTGTTGGATCCAGAAAAGCGAATGACTGTGTCTCAAGCACTGAGCCACCCTTTCATCACGGGCAAGTGAAAAATGATGCTGCTTTCCTAACTCCAGAATTGCTCTTGAGTTAGATATGTATACGTTTTATGTTAGTTGATTTTCATTTAATCTGACCAATGGACATTTGTCCTGTGTGTCGCCGTCTTCATGGCACTTTGCCGAGAGCGAGCGGTACAAGTTCCTGGCGAGGATGAACCGTGAAACTGATGATGTTGGTTCGAAGACCTTTCCTACTTGGCGGTTCTTATCAGTGGGGATGTGTTCTGTTCGATTGTAAGACAACTCGCCAAAGGCGTTTTTATCTCTTGTAAATCACTCTTTAATGATGAACTCTGAAGCTCTGTAAAATTTATGCCTCTCATGTTAAAAAATTCAACGAACTGTCTTATCTTTCCTTGGTGTTGGATTCACATTTTTCGAATAAATTATTATGTGATTGTAACTGAGCAAGATCAGATAAAAGCACCATCTTTGATTGAAGTCTCAAAACTGAGTTCTAGGATGTAGTCGATCTCTTTTATTTTTGAAATTTTCTAGGTATATATCCTATTGTGGCAATTGTGATTTGGCTGCTTGGAGTCTGGTATAGGTCTTGTTGTTGTTCTTATGTCGGTGTGTTTGGCATTTCAGTGTTATCACTTTCTTAATGTCTAGCATGTTCATTTAATTAAATAGGTTCCTTGAATCCTGGAGAGTCTAATTGTGTATTTCATTCAGGATGTCTTCCATTGCTCATGTGGCTAGCGATTCAGTACCTTAGATGCTAAAGGGCGGCATAAAGAAGGTACCCCTGGTTGAAGTCTGTATTGTGGTTTGACACATAAGCAATATTTTCGAAATGATTCCTATGGAGGATGATCCTTCCTTAATTGCTGAAGATGATGCCATTTTATTTGGGATGAGTTTTTTTAAAATATTTTATTTGCAATGAACTTGTTTTATTCTTTTTAGCTGCTTCCCTATTCTAAATGCAAACGGTGGTGACTTTTAGTTCGCTTGTTTATTCATATCAAATTTAAAAGGGGAAGCTAAATAGAATCATCCCATCTATACCCTCCACGTTTCTATTGACAAAATGTTTTTGCCTTCTTGTAAACTTTTTAATGTTTTTGCCTTCTTGTAAACTTTTTCTTCTATAAGCTTCATTCATGATCTGACCTGCATTTTCGTGGTCCTGGAGGCATTTGGACTGGAGATGGATGGGCTGTGGTCATTATGTTGCTATTCTGAATAACTTGGTGAGTTCACTTTTTTTATCCGCCATTTTTCTTGTGAGCTGTAATGTGTTTGTATAAGTAACTTATGAGCATCATGCATAAATGTTGGGGGTTTATACAGATTGCTTGGCTTAATTTTTCTCTGCATTCAGGCCAGTATCTGATGCAGCAGCTTGGTTTATTGATTATAAAACTATACCAAGGTCACATGAATTATTATTGGTTGATCTTTGAAATTCAGTTTTGAATTTAATGATGACTATTACAGTTCTAGTTTCTATACTCATAGATGATTACCACATTTGACCAAAACTTTTCATGGTTTCTCACTTGTCTTTGGCCCAGAAGGAAAATTATTACAATTGGACTCGTACTCAGATATGGGCCTGTTTGGTTGTTTCACTTCTTTGAATATATGCTTTAGGTAAATTTAACATGAAAAATATCGTGGGCTATATCTTGTCATTTTACATTTTCTGATTTCATTCTCTTATATTTTTTATAGCTGTTTTGGACCTTGGAATAATGATAAACAGCGATTCCTCTATTGATGTAGATAGGGACATTTGAATCTTTCGTGTTATATGCTACTGAAACTTGGGAGTTCCAATTTTGATTCAAGTTAATATATCTTCATCTTTTATATAAATGTGGCTTTAACTTTTTATTTTTGATAAGTATGATCTGACACGAGAAGTGCGTGAATGGGGTTATAGGCGAATGGCCATTTCCTGCATGTGCTCTTGGTATATTACGACGTCCAGGTGATGTATGTCTGACTTTCATTTTTAAAGAAAAAGAAGTTTATTATAACTAGTTCTTTTTGGGTAGTGTAGGGGTTTGAAATTACCATCCTCATCCTGCCTAGGAAAGTTTAAGAAATAGTAAGAAGCGTAATGCATTTAAAAAATGTTGGTGCTGTTGTATATAGTAAGAAGCAATGCACTTAAAAAATGTTTGTGCTGTTGTATTCCTTATGCACAAGTGTATTGTATGTTTCTTTGCCTGACCTTAGAATTGAAATGAGGTGTCTGGGCAGCATATCCTAGTCTATTGTGGGTGAGGTTCTAGCCTTTACACTGCATCAACTGCCTTGTATCCCTTGTATCATATGAGGTTGTATAATTGTACCAGGTTGTATAATTGTACCAGATTCCCAAGGATGTAACTGCAGGAATTTTGCATATGAAATGACACACATTGTCAAGGAATCTCATGCTTGTGGATTCTTTGTAATATTGCCAGATAAATGTGTGATTTGTTTAAGAATCTGCTTAATCGAGCTAGGAGGTGTCTATCTCGTGGTGCATTGCATTTGTTGGATTCTCAGTTTTCCATAGTTGAACAAACCTTGGAACTTGGGTGATGTTGCCTGGAATAAGATTGTGCTCTCATTTATGGGCCTTTAGTTATATCAACTCCACTGTTCTTTTCAGGTAATAAATGTGATCCTTTGACAGAGGAATCTTGTACTGAAGTGATTTTGAAATGCAATCTCGATGAGTTTAATTACAAGTCCTTTCTGCAATGTATCAGGACAAGAAAACAATGGTATTTGTGCTAGATATCCTTCCCAATAATGAAATGATCCAATGTGCATCTTAACTTAGCATCCATCTTTGTTTATCTGCACTATGGGTTTAACTCCATGTGTACTTTTAAACAAAGAATAATGAAGAAAATTCGATTTCTCAGTTTTGCATATTGAATAAGGAAAAATCCTGTTTTTACGAGAAGAAAGCTCCGTGCTATACGAAGCATTATCTGCTTGGTAGTCCAAATTCATCTATTTATATTCTCCTTGATTTTCTTCGTATTTTGTATTCACATATCATACCATCTGAATCAATCACGATCTCATAAATCTCCTCTGAAGCATGCAAAAATGATGACTCCTATGATGCTTTTATGCCCTTTAAGTGGTAGTAATACTTGCACAATACAGTCAGCCAGGTTCTTGGGTCCCATGACAATCTCCTTGTATGAAGCCCCCATCTTGTTTTTCATTTATATAATTGTAAAAGAGGCCTCAACCCTCACAACTCCTTTGAACTAGTTTTCTTCTATTGCAGCCTTTGAAGTTCTAATTTATGCATTTTAGCAGGGGCAAGATCCACATCTCGGTGCTCTTGGTCGCAAAGTGTAACTCCTGTATGATGCCTGTCCTTACCCAAATCCTTACTGCTGACATCGTATACACCATTCTTCTTCTTACTTCTTGTCTGCTTTTTATATTTTGGGTTTTTGCTGAGTTAGCTGGGGTTTGAACCTTGGGTGTTTTGCTGCAACCCTCAATCCTAGACTGCCCAGCCAGGAGGATGACCCCCATTGTGCTATATTTTGTTGCTCCATCCTGATGAGCTTGTCCACCTTGGAATTGTTATGTACAATGGCTCATTGTGTTTTGTTCCTTACTCTAAAGACCGATTATTGGCGGGGAAGTATAGGGTAAACATTATATGGATGCCTGAGCATCCACAAGCAACATCTACACTGTAGGATGGAGCCTTTTGGAGATGTGAGAAAGTAGGTATTGGTCGACTTGTAGCTCCTGTTTTTATTCAGTCTCTCTCTCTCTCTCTCTCTCGCAAAAATGCAAAATTCCAACCCTCCGCTTCTTTGTTTCTTCTTTGACGCATGTGTTTCCATGTCTCTCTTCTGATTCTCTTTCCTCATTATGTCAAAAGTCTTACCCCCCAAGGAGCCAGACTGTTTCCAGAAACTATCATGATACACAAAGTTTATTGAATAGGGAGTCGAAAATCTTATTTTGGATCTGTTAAACTATCATGATACACCAAGTTTAATGAATGGGGAGTAGAAAATCTCATTTTGGATGTGCTTTCTCTCTCCCTCTCTCTCTCACTCTCTCTCTCTCTCTCAGAAAAGAAAAGAAAATACGTTAGAATAGGGAATGTCTTCTCAGAACGCAAGAATCATCTGTACAGTAGCTTGAAAATTTAGAAAACTGAGAATCCATCCAGGAGAAACCCTAAAACTAATACGACTTAGAGCCAGAATGCGTGATTCCAATTGAACACACTCTGAAAAGGAAAATCCGAAACAACAAAATGAAGTGTAAAACAGAAGAATCAATGGGGTTCCTTATCCAATCGCACTTCTCTGTCAAGAATGCTACCTCCCCTTCGGGGGAGCTCAGGTGCTGATCAGGCTTGTCTGTATGTGCTACATTGTGGGTCATGTAACAAGGAGAGATTTACCCTATTAGTGATCTTAAGGAAATTAAATTTAAAAATAGGGGAATATCTTCCTCTGTAAATCCTGAAGTCTTTGTTTAAAGTTATTTTTAGCAAGTATTTTTCCATAATCGTTTGCTTTCTTCCTTTACTCTTCTTCTCTTTTATCTTATCAAGATAATATATTCCAGATATTCGTAGTTCCTGGTTTCATCTCATTATAATTTGTGGGAAGGTTTAGGCTTTGGGGTTTTTCATGGATTTGTGGTGGTCGGGGTTGGGGGTGCGTGGAGTGGGAGTGGATGAAGTAAAAGAGAGCCTGACCCTTCATACATGGAGGAGAGAGAAATATGGGAGAACCATCTTGTTCGAGGAGAATGTGAGCATGGACAATTGGGTTTGCAAGCTAGGGCAGAGAGAACAGAGCAAAAGCAAGGATTTTGAGTTTGCTAACCAGGAGAGAGAGATGGGGGGGAGGAGAGAGAGAGAGGGACATGTATAAAGGAAACTGGCTCTACCCAGTAAACCGGTAGTCTCGTTTGCATACTTAACCAAAGGGGCCATCTGACAGTGTCGATGCTACTTAGGGATGCTCAAGTGTCCACATATTTTCTAAGCAATACTTTCCCCTTAGACATATATGTTTCATTGTATGTTCTCTCCCTTATTGATCCGTTTAACTTGTCCAGATTCTAGTGAACTTCAGTTTATACCATAGCATATTCATTGTGATAATATCCGACCATTGTTGCAAAGCTGTCTCTCTATGAACTAGTTCAAGGTTTCATGGGCCTTGTAAATTTTTTTTTTTAGTTTGAATGTGGCTGTTGTCAAAGTTATTTGTTGGTAATTCGGACATAAACAAGGTTGGATGCTTTGGAAGCTGTGTCCAATACTCTTATATTTCTGATTTGGACATAATGAGGGAAATAGTAAGATCATTGAAGGCATCTATGTGCTCTAAAGAAAAATAAGGGCTTGAATGCGTGGTGCTAGAATATGAGAAGAAAAGCTTGACCAGTTAAATTCTTCTTGAAGAGGAGTGAGGCTCTTGATGCCAACCTGTTTTTTTTTTTTCTAAAAGGCATTCTAACTATCTAGAATGCTTAGGAATTAGCTTTCCCAAACTTCCCATTTTGATAGTGGTCCATAACTGCAAGGCCTAAAAACTCGTTTCAGTGGTTGTTTTGATTTTGTCCTTTATATGAGGTTTTGGAAATGTGATGGTGTTTGGCTTAATGGTTCCAAGAATATTTTGCCAAATGATAAAGGCGTTTTGCGGATTGGATAGAATGGTGTTACAATGCATTTGTCAAAGGATGTGATGTTATGGTTTTATGATTCGTTTGTTATTTTTATAGCACTGTATGACATCATCCTATGTTTAAGTTACAATTTTTTTTAGTGTGTATACCGTGCTTCCTCGGGAGCATACTATACATTTACTTGGGAGTTTTTTTTAATTTGAAAATTCGGGATCCATCTTATTATTACTAGATAATTATTTTGAATTTGAAAAAAAATTTGATTTTGAGATCTTGAACATCTAGATCATTCCCTTAAAAAATTGGATGGGTCCAGTGCAATCTTTGGATGCCCTTTTTTTAGGCACATAGAGAGTTAATTATTATATTTATTATATTTCTTCATTAGGTTGGTTGCTGGGTTCTAGAGATCGCATCCCCAAATTTTGGGATCTCAAAAATACTCCTAGTGTAAGTTTTGCTGGAGGGAGTAGATGGATGTGGGCGTAGGAAATCTTTGCCTTTTTTTTTAAACACTATTTAAGTTCTATATTTTCCTCATGTTTTGTGCCTCTTGAGTTTGATCTAAGAGTATTGATATGAGATGCAGCAGTGACGAATTTCATAGACCTTCTATTTGAATTAAGATATCTTAATAAAGTATGTGTATTAATTGTCTTCATGGCTTTTTCTTGAAGAATGTAGATTCTGCCTTGAAATTATTTGTTACCTGCATTAGCTTAATCTTGTTAAGAAAGAACGTAGAAGCTGGTTTCTGAGCACCAGGCCAGAATATCCCAATGATGCTGCAGCAGGCAGATAATTTATAAAAAAAAATGTGTAGCACCCTAGAAGACCTATAATTTTTTTCACGAGATTCATGATCATGGTGGGTGAGATGATGGACCTGTGAAGTTCTGAATTCTTAATCCATCTCCAAGATGGAGTTTGGGACGTGGACACGGTACCTACCCTTTAGATGTTCCATCCCTAGATGGTTCTAGATGCAATGTAACTTTTAGCTAACTGGTTTATATTCTATCACATCATGATTTGTATTTTTTGAAATGTGGTTGATAGTATTGCTTTAGAGTGGCTCGTTTAAAAATCGGATGCTGCTTTGGAATTTATTTCATACAATAGCATTTGTAATCTTGAGTTGAAAGCAGAGAACTCTTTGTTGCTTTCTCTACTTTTATTTTACCGATATTGTTGGTGGGGATAATGTGATTTCCTTTACTGGAAATGAGTTGGTGTAATGAAATCTCGAATATGTTGACTCTTTTTCTAATCCACTCTATAGGGATAAGAGATGGGATTTGTATCTATAAGGTTGTGTGCTCCTTCCATATCCAGTCTTTCACTGATTGATTAGTGGATGGCAGTGAACAATGAAATCATGCTTCTCATGCTTGGATTTCTCAAGCTGCCAATAGCTGTGTCACTTGCCAACTGGCTCTTTGAAGTTCAAGTCCAGCAGTAGTTCTCTTGGGCTAGTGGTGTTTCCTTGTTTTATTTGGATTTGAATACATCTTGGATGTGGTCAGGACGATCGGCAGACGGCAGCTGAACCCAATCGGCTCCATTCACATGCTTCATGTAAGTAAATGGAAGGAGATAGTTTCGAATCATGAGAAAGTGATAGCGGAGTTGGTGTTATGGGTTTGTTTTCTCTATTCACTGATGAGTTTACTATGACAATTAGGGGATGGAGGCTGTTGGCACTTGATGAAACAATATTGGGGACTTGCTGATCCAACCCCTAGGGGCAATTGCTATCCCCTGCTCCCCTAATACCCATTTGACCTACATCCCTTCCCTCTCTTCATTTCCCTTTTTGTTCCACTGTATGGCCAAACCATGCATATTAATTCACACTTTGCAGTTGAATGAATAAATTGTTGGGAGGGGTTTGGTAGGGAGTTGGTGGAAGAGAAGGAAAGGAAAGGCTCTTTTCTTGAAATGTAGAAAGCATTAATAGCGAACTTCTAAAATTCATTGGTTGTAGGAGGTATGTGAGATTTTACGTAGTGTGTGTGGGAGAGATAGGGAGAGTTCCATGCATGAAGGGTTCTATTTAACTGAGATTCTGAGAAGCTTTTGTGCTTTTCTGTTTCTTATCTTCCCATGCTTTCTCTCATTTACATGCTTCCCTTTTAGGTTCACTGCGGTGTGCTATATTTTATTGGGTGATGTGATCCACAATCATTGCACTGCAATTTATGTATGTTATTTTGTTTTTTGTGTTATAGAAATGAAAATTTAGATTTTGAGTAAATGATAAAAACAAACCAAACTATGTATCAAAGGCCAGCTTTTGACCCTTTATCTATTGATTGCGCTGGTTCATGTGGAAACCATCACTATATGTTACTTCGTTTTTATGCTTTTTTTATACTATTGATTACATTTTGTAAATGTTAAGATTCACTTTTTAGGACTTGTAGTGAACTAGTAACTTATCTACAAAGTCAGAAGGGATAATATTAAGTCTATCAACAATATTAGTGTGTGCAGCAATGACACGTCTGGAAATGGAGCTATGTAGAAAAGATGCAAGAGGTTGGTTTAGAGGTAATTTGGGATTTGAAGACATTACTGTTGCATAATGGGAGCTGGATTGTGAGCACGGGATTGCTGTTTGCTAGAAGCTGCTTCACTAGGGAGCACCATGGAGTTCTTATGCAATAAATTTTGCAAATGTATAAGTACTCGAAATTGGTTTTGGTACTCAGGTAGTTATGTTAGTTTGGTCTTGACACTTTTGTTACTGGAGTTCTCTTGTGAACAAAAAATATGCTTGAGTTCTCTGCTGCATTTGGTTTAGAATTTAAGTGTTCCGCCTTCTTTAAAGCCCAAAGTTTACCTTGTGATCCATTTTGTGGTTCCCACAATGGAGAGTGCCGGAGAAAATGTGGGGTTCTTCCTTGACAACTTTAGAAGGAAGGGTTTTCCAAGAAAACGGGGAACACATTCCCACAAGCTTGGGAATTCATTGTCAACAAGTTTGTTCTTCCAAATTGCAAAACCCTGTTCAGGGTGCCAGAGTGCCACCTTAGTTCGAATATTCATCCCCCAAAAGAAAAAGATCCAGTAACTATGGTATGGATTGCGATGCTTCTTCTCGTGGGGAATGATCTACTGGAGGGATATGGGGTTGCATTTCATTTGCGTATCGACAAAGGGGATTCCTTGATCAGAGTGGTTTGTTGATGGTTGGCAATGGCAAAGTGTTTATGGTTTGATCGATGGTGTTAATATTGCGAGGAGTACCTTTGAGTTGTGAAATTGTTAATAACATGCTACTCTTTATATAATGGGAACTTATTGTCTTTTATATTACTTTGCACGGTATTCTTATTTTGAGAGATAAACAAATGTCACCCGTGAAAAGGCAGCCAATGAAACTTGGACGTTTCTACTTTGGTTGTTGTAATGTGGCTGACTAGTTTCTCGGGATTTACCTCAACCTCAAAAATACATAACTGAGGCACATGGACTTTGATGTTGCTCTCTAATTGTGTAGCACAACATTACGCAACTCTCCGAGAATTCAGAGCCCTTCATGTATCCAATGTGATCCTATGCCTTGTTTTCATTCTTTAATAATTCTCGAGGTTCGACAGCATACTCGGGGCAGGACACAGCTTTGTCACAGTATTATCAACGAGACTCTTCTGGGTTTTTTTCAGAAAATAATAGTAAAGTATCTAACTCTTGTGAGTCTTAAATTGTATAGCACGACACTCTGGGCTTTCAGGTCAAATGGATTCAGGTGAGTCCTTAGTTGACTTGTGTTGTTTTAAAACCTTGATAATCCTAAGCACTGTATAGCCTCTGGTAGAAGCTTTCTCAGTGTTGGGACAAACTACAAAATAATGGGATACTGCAATTAGGCATTAAGGAGAGAGAGTGAGTGATTGGGTGCCCAACTTGAAAGACATCTACCTTTGGGGATGTATAACGTGCCTATGACGGATAGAGGAAGAATTTATGCTTACTTATGATAGGGATATACAGAAAGCTATAGCCTCTTAGAGGTTGCTCACTGCTTAATTGCATTGAGATTGAGTGACATTTTAAGGCTAATGGAGAGGGTTCTCTTTTCATTGGGTATCTTCAACAACGGTGCTTCAACTCGAAGGAATACCCTGTGATGCACTAATAGATATAAAAATTGTTATTTTAAGTTTATCGCGTGAACAACAATTTGCTCTATAGGCCTTGAATTTGAGGAATAGCTTTTGATATGACTGAAGTAAGTGTTGGGAACTTGACAACTGTACCATGATAAGGATAGTGGGATGTTGTCTGCATTTGTCATTTTTTACATTAAATTTAAATGTTTATGAAGGAAATTTCGGTGTTGCACTAATAGCTAATAAGATGAGCGAGAGTGGACGTAGGTGGGCTGACCATGTGATGCGCAGATCTAGTACAACACCTATAGGAGGTGCGAGTTGGTTCAAGTGGAAGGCTCAAAAAGGGCAAGGGGTAGTCTTAAGAGGACATGATTGGAAGTAGTGAGAAAACATATGGGGACTTATGGCCTCACTAAGGGTATGGCCTTTAATAGAGCAGAATGACAAATCAGGATTCATGTTGCTGACCCTCATTAGTTGGGAAAAGGCTTTGACGATAATGATGAAGGAAATTATTATTAGGGCTTGTATACTATGAGAGCATTTATCTTTGTTATTAGGAGGTCACAAATACAATTAGCCATTAGATGACAAATTGGATGGCTTGGGGTGTGACACAAAGTTTGAGAAATTTTTTGTTGAATTTTGAACCTAGTTAATGACACACTCACAACAATCATCCAATTTGAAATCCAATGGACACGATTGATTGTGACCTCCTTGTACCAGAAGTAAATGATTTCTTTGTATGCTTTTCCATATTATTATATGTATGTGAGTATTCTTTCTTGGCCAATTGGTATCATATTGTTTTGTAAGAGAAGAAACTTCTTGTAATTTACTTCAGACTTTCAACATGTTATTGATCATTAGTTTTGTCATTCATGCTACTGTTTTTTGGCATGGATGGTGAGAAACAATCAGCTTGATAAGTGGTGCCTATTTTAGAGTTGTATTGGATGGTGTGGCTGCTAAAGAATTACTTGGATCTTAAGGCATTTAGACACAGAACCAATTAATTGTTGAGTTAGAATTTTGATGGAAGACATATCCATATGGTTTTGGATCCTTTATCGATGGAGGATTTAGACTGGGTTGAAGATTTTGAGTTTATTCAGGCAATATACCATTCAATAATTTTGTGAGATGAACTATTTTGACATTAATGTATGACTCAGAAAAAAGCTACTTGCAGGATGAGTGGGATGTGTGCTAAATGTTTTAATCTTTTGTGCATGTAAGGATCATTAAGAAGGCATGTAGCATGAGGGACACTCTGGTTGGCAACCTTGCCAATATATTGAGTTTTGGGCAAGGGCATTAAATTTTCTTGTACCATAATTTCTTTTAACTAATGAATTTATCTGATTACAAAACTTATCATGAACATGCTTTAACTACGAACCAGGATTTACTAACACATATTTTAGTCTTTTCCATGTCAAATGCAAGATTGTCGCATGTTGACAGTGATCCATGTTAGCACGACATTTAGGCAAGTTTAACAAATATTCAATTTAAGTAAATGGGACATTGGCGACTGGTTGTTAGACATAAAACTGATGCTTAACTGTAGTTTCTGTGGTGTACTTATTAGGACACCAACAGAATATGCTTGATCAAGTATATTGAGGTGTCTGAACTCTTCAGGAGGATAATGTCATCAAAATTTTTGAATTATGGATGAGAAGCTATGAAGAAATATTCTTTGTTTAGGGATGACCCTTACCCAATTGCCAGCCTTATCTTGAATTTTTTTTTGAGAGGCTTCTTGTTACTTAATGTTTTATTTGTTTGTTAGAGGATGATATCCCTTGTGAACTCTTTATCATCTTGGCCTTGATTTGGGGGGATTAAGAAGGGTAGGCAGAAATTGTTGTGTGGGTTGTGCACCCTTTGCGTGGAAGTATAGGGGAGTATGCAATGTTGGGATTGTAGAGAGAAAAAAGTCATGTGAGGTGGATCGATACTTCGATATTTGTATGTGCTTATGGCCTGGTTGCACAGGCCACTTGCATGAAGTAAGTGCCACAGTTACACTCTTAACTTGAAAACAGAAAACTGGAAGTTTGGTCTGCCCCTGCTATTTCCCCAAAATGTGCAAACACACCCTTAATGTACCAGTGTACTCGAATTAGTGAATACTGAGGTTTTTGTGAGTTCAATTGACGAGTGCTAAATTATGCATTCATATCGTTATGTTTCTAAATGAACGAGATTATTAAATATTATATCACCGAACTGTTTGCATCATGGCAGGTCTTGGCTTTAAACCTCCGTCTTATAAATGAGGTAAAAGTTTATATGAGGTTGACATCTTAGAATGTAGAATTACGATGCATCTCAAAAACCTTTTGAAAAAGGTTGTTTTGATGTTGGTGAAAGATTTAATTCATCATCTTGATATCGATATCGAGATGCGTAGATATGGAGAAAGGAGATTTCAAGTCCTAAAAATAGTACCTGCGTTACATTATCTAGAGCATCCATGTTTAACATTTTCATGCTTTTATAGATCTGCTTGATTTGAATCTTTTTTGGAGTGTAAAATTTTATGATGGGAGAGATAAAGACATTCTTGCACCATCTTCAGAATTTTCGACACTAAAAAACCAAAAATGCATTTCATGATAAAGTTTGGAGATGCACCTTTGATTGTTTGATTGTTTAAGGTTGCAACCCTATGCAACCATACCCGATAAATAAAGCTGACTGTCCGAAATAACAGTTGTAATACTGTGGGGCTGTTATTCTGATTTATTTGATATTATCATGGTTATTGACGGCATGCCTTGTGTGGAACTATCTAAATTATGGGGGAATAGTGTCATATGACCTGTAACTATGGAGGCTGAGGAGGCTATGTAATATCTTTTTGTGCTTTGGTGCTGTATGTCATAATGTATGTATCTGTGTGTCAGCATCTTTAGATCATGCTAAAGGTGTGACATGATATAATAAACGTTGATGACGCACGCAGTGGGTGCTTTGATAATTTATAATATGATTCTTTATAATAGTTTGTGAAAACTACCAGGATCAACTATCATTCCATATAGGGGGGAATTAGCTGTCTCAAAATTTTAACAATTTCAACCTCATTTGTAAAATACAGTTGCCATCTTATCTTCGACGTTAATTCTACTTCAGAAATTTGGTCACCAATTATGCATAACTATAAGGAGCCTAGATGAAGAACAATGGTTTCATGCGGGTTGGACCGCATTTCTACATTATGCAGTCCACAGGTATTAAACATTTATCTGAAAGATGAAAGTTACAATTGTTTTTACAATTGTTTTTAGATGGAGTGGTCCATCTAAAAACAATTGTAACTAACTGTCCAATTGCTCTCTTAATAATTATTATGTCTAGTTTTTAATTTTTTATTTTATTTTTATGTTCATGATCTCCATGGTAAATATTTTATATACTCTAAAAAATTAGGATCAAATGGAATTAAAAAATATATTTATTGCCAAGCCGGGGTTTCTACAATATGCCGGCTGGCTGCATGCAAACTGCGCCCCTAGATGAAAGTCGAATTATGAAAAATGCAATTCATGTGCCTTTGATATACGAATAAGCAATCATATCTACTTTATATGTGAATAAAGAAATCGTGACCATATTACACTCGCTCTCCAAAACCAATTTCATCCATAAAAAAATGCTTTCCAGGACCTAATAAGTTTATTTTTCAAAACCTAATAAACTTTCCAGGACCTAATAACCTAATAAACTGAATGTTAAGGTGGCACAGAAAATTAATATGGACTTTAGCATACACTTGGAATGAGTGGGTCTGATTTCTTGGGCTTTTTGTTCAACTCTTTGTCAATTCCTCTGAAGCCACTAGTGTGGTTTCAGAGGAATTGCTTTTATGAAAGTGCCCCAAATATGGGCTGAAGGTTGTAAAAAGTTAGAGACGAGGAGAATCATGTTGTACTCCTGCGGTATCGGTCTGCTACTGCAGGCTTCAAAGCAAATACAAGAGATGTCCATATGCGCGGTTCTAAATAAAATAGGGAAATTTAGAATGTCAGTATTTCTCACATTTAATGTTAAGAAACCTTCTAAAGGTCACTACTATCGGCTCTAAAGCGTCTAGTTGAATAAAAAACTTGACCTACCGAGAAGCCCCAGAATAGGGTCGCTGGTCGGAACTCTGGATCAGTAGAAGTGGGAGGCCTCGCAATTGGAAGAATACAATGATGCTGAACCAGTGTTGGAAAAATTGATCCGGAATGTTTAACTAGATATGGGCACGGAAGCGGTTCAGTTGGCTGGATTAGCTGTTTTATTCGGGTAGCACTTAGGTGGTAAAAAAAGTGCTAAAAAAAAAAAAAAAAAATCTACTAAAACATAAAAAGTAAATCTTAAGAATGATTAAGGGAAGTTGAAAATTAATAAAAAAAAATGAATTTTAAATAATTAGTTTGTGTTTAGATGTATTTTTGAAATTTTCTAAAAAAAGGATGGGGAAAATATAAAAATAAATATTAATGGCCAAAATAAAACGAAGATAAAAGGATGGAGAAAGAAGTCGTTGACAACTCGGCTAGGAAACTAAATAGGCTAGAAATGGAGATCTCACTTCCTAGAAGGAAAACATTCCTACACGACAAGGAAAGTGGCCTTCAGCAAAGTCAAACCTGTCTTGGGCGCTAACCAAGAAGCAAAACCCTCCAGGAAAAAAGAAGACCAAACCCATTATTCAGTATTATTGCAACTCTTAAAATCTTCACTTATTCTCCACAAGATTGAGAGAGTAGATATCCCTTTTCAATTATTTTTGGGAAAATTGTTTCATGCGGGCTGGACCACATGACTACATATGCGATCCAAAAAGTGTAAAGCATCCATCTTAAAAATGGATGCAAATAGGTGTTCCATCTAAAAATAATAGAAATTAACTGTCCAAATATTTTTTTACTAGAATTATTATTTTTATTTTTAAAAAATTATTTATTTATTCATATTCATGATCGTCATATTAGAGACTACAAATCCTTAAAAATTAAGTACAAAAATCCATCACAAAAATAGATTTATCAATAAGTCCGCATTGTCTGCATAAAAACCGGGTCCTTATTTTTGACCTAACAACAAAACGTCCAAGTTTTGGACACTTCTCTGTATCTTCGAGTGAATGACCTGACACAAAAAGAGTGGTTTATGCGTCGGGGAATGCACAAGTTCACCCACCGCCATCCGACATCGTTCTTAAAGATGAATGTAGAGTGGTCGTTCCTCCAAAAAAAAATAAAAAATAAAATAAAATTCAACGGTCTAAATTTTTTTAAAAATATGCCATTTTTTTATATAGGAAAATAATTCGATAGGGCTTCAGCTCTATTAAAACAAGTAAAGTCTCATCTCATAACCCATTGAAAATTGGAGTTCAAGCAATAGAAAACCTTTATAACAATCATCTTGGCTTGAACATTATAATTGTGGAAAAAAATAAGATTTCAAGTTCTAAAAATAGTGTCTATTGTAACAAATTATTTAAGACGTCCATTTCACCCTAAAAATAAGTGTTCATAGATTCGAAAGATCTATACCATTTCTTGAGTGTCGAATTTCATTGTCATTGTAGGAAATTGATTTTAGAGCCATCATGGAGATTTTTGTTGCCGAAAGTGCTTTCGGGATGAAGATATACGGTAAGGCTTTATTTTGTTTCATATTCCTTTGCCGAAAGTGCTTTTGGGACGAAGATTTGCAGTGAGGCTTTATAGAAACTTCATCCTTTTATATATTAATGATATTTATATTAAATATTACATGTACCTACAAAATTAAGTCATTCCTGGATCGTTGAAGAGGAGACACATATCTCCATGAGTGAAGGACACATAAAAACCATGTCCTTGTGTATGAGGAACAAGTGATAAAGAACATTATGGTTTGGGGCACGCATATGATTTTTTTTTTTTGTCCTTTTTTAAGTCCAACGAGCACGCATGTGATTTTTTTTTTCTTTTTCTTTTTTGGAAAAATTATGTCTGTACCATTTTATTTGACCATTATTACGTGATAATCCAAAAATATGTGACATATGCGGAGGTCTTTGTCCGCCCGAGTTTTTATATATTTTTTCAAGTTTGTCTTTGGTTCAATGTTTTAAACATTGGTCACGTATGAAATTCATTTTTTTGATTTTGTGACCACCTTAAACCTTCAAAAATCTAGGTCTAAACGCACTTTGATTTTAGACCTTCAACATCAGACCGCCTTAAACCTTTAAAAAATAAGTCTAAATGCGGTCCGATGTTTAAAACATCGGACCGCCTTAAAACTTAAAAAAATGAGGTCTAAATGGACAATTGATGTTACCAAGCCATCTGATGATTAAAAAATCGGACCAGGGGGTAAATTTGTCAAAAAATAAAAAAAATTGAGCGGCTTGTACTTCTGAGTAGTATTTTGGGCCCTTTTCGTTATAATGGTTTTAAAAACCGGTATGAACGTAAATTTCCCCTTTTTCTTTTGACTCAAAGGATCTGGATGCAATTGATAATTGATGTATGACGAACAAATTAGAGTGAAAAGAGGACTTTTTGTGGGCTGCTTTACACTTTCTTTATATCTCTTCTTTACAATAGCCTCATGTGTCACCTCCTTTTCCTATCTTTCCTCCTGCCTTAGGGCGTCATGGAAGCCATGGTTGCAAGAAGCCACAGCATCCACAACTGTAGTACTTCTCATGTTTGTTTGAGGCTGGGGCAACATCGTCTTGTAAGCCACCGAAAACATCTGCTTTCAAAAAATGTCAATTTGATGTTGCTTTGTAGAAGGGCCCATGTAATCAATCAAATGGCAGCAGAAGATGAGTCTTTGACAGCCCACTTTTCCATAAAACAAACGCTCCCATAAAACTTATCCTAGTCTTGTTGGTACTGGTTGCGTAAACACTGATGGATTCCTAATAACAATGGACTCCCTATGCTAACATGATTCTTATTAGCTTTAGGAATTCTCTAGTTAAAGAATACACCTTCATTGGTGGTTGTCTTCCATACCTTTAGCTGCAGTTTATGCGATGATTAAATGAACAGTTGTAATCTTTGCAATTCAACTAAAATTTTCTTGATAGTGTTCCAGGTAGTTTGAGAAAATCCTTCAGCCACCACCCATGCGTTGGAGCTCTCAATTTCAGCATTAGATGTACATTTTATTTTCTAAACCACTTGCAATCAATTGCTTCTTGCCATTTGGAAGATGAACCAAATTCCGTATTTGGTTCTTGTATCAATCTCTTCTTCTATAACATGTTGTCGCTTTGGACTACCTCTTACTTTTTCAATGCTCTTCAGCTCATGGTTATCTTATGACATGCATTATGTATATATATTGCATGTTGTACACATGATAATCATTGAGTCTTTTAAATGGATAAGTTGCCTTTCTAGATACCGCTTAATTTGTTCTTCAGTCTTGAGTAATTTTCTTCTCTTTTTACAATATGGGAGCTGTCGTTTTCTAACTTAACTTTGGATCTTCATTGGATGTCTGAGACTTTTCTTTTTCTTTAACTTCTTGCATAGCTTGATGCCATTGTGCTTATTTATTGAAATTCATATCTCTGCATTAGAACTGTGCATCGATATGTTTTTCTGACGATTACCTAATAAAGGTACACTTTATAGCGTTGAAATTAAGATTGTCATGATTGCCATCATTGTGCTTCACATAAATTATATACCGACCACATGTCATATCTGGTTTCTTCTTATAGAGAAGCTGATATGACACCTTAACTGTATCTCTCAATGGCATCCAATTGATCAAGTTACCTGCAGTGTATCTTGCCTTGGCCCAATAAATTTTAGGCCAGTCCTCACTATTCATTATTATACGAGCGATTTTCAAAATGTGAAGATTCGTCCATTATGCAATCCCATTTTATTCAGCTTTGATACAAATTCCCCTCCATTGTCTGTTCTGAAATACTAATTGTATGTTCTGAAATGCTTGATTCTTGAACTAAGCTCGTATTCTAAAAGTACTTTGAATTCTTTAAGTACCCAAACACTGCATATTTGTTTATAGAAATAAATCCATGTGCACTTTGAATAATCATCATTGAAAGTGGCAAAAAACCTCATGCACCTGTGAGATTCAATTAGACTTGCATCTCACAAATTATTATGGATTCTCCAATGGTTTTTTGCTGTAGTGGTGGATTGGATGAATAGATACTTTGTAGTCTATGCAAATGTACAAGCTTTATAAATGTAATTCCATAAAATTGGACCACATGCAACCCAATAATTAGTGTCGTAGCTTTTAGTTTTGGAAGATTACAATGTGTCATTCTCTTAGTAAATGGCAAATCCATGCTCATCGCATATAAGTGATCAGCTTTCTTTTTCACAGTCGACAATCTTCACATCTTCCTGTTACTTGCTTTCATGTTCTCTTTCACCAAAAATGCATGAAAGCCTTGATCTACCAATTCTATTACGGACATGAGACTTTTCTAAGTTCTAGAACATGCTGTACGTTAGAAATGTGCTTAAATTTTCATTAGGCACTCGAAATGTAATATGTCCTCTGTCTTGCACCTGGTGTTGTCTCATATCAAGACTCCTGACCTGTTAGATATTGGTGATGAGGATATTGCCTCTTGGCATTGTTTGGTATGAACATGTAGAATCCATGAAACACTGGTCTTTGCTCTCTTGAGCATTCATACAAAATGCTTTTTCAGCTTTTCTCCTCACAAACTTCTTTTTCATACTTCCATTTTCCCTTGGCTACAAACTTTCCTTAGTTGTGCTAGCAATCTTTGGCATGAAATCAACTTCCCCACCAGTAAAAAGGAATGTTTATTTGATCTACTGGCATTGAAACTAACTTTTCTAACTATTTTGAAATTATTATTGGGATTATTTAATACTTTGGATCCTTCCCGGATCACAATAGCTTCCTCTACAGCAAGACCTCCCACAAGAGTTGGTAAACAAGGCATCATTCCGGTCTTTGAATTTCTTGGAACCACAATTTATACCACAATTTTCTTATTTAAAAAAGTGCTTCTTCTTAAAATAATGGCCTTATAACATCTTCTGTGGGTGACATAGATCAACCCTCATGACATCAAACTCAGTCCTTAGATTTTCGAAGATGAGGACAATTCCTTGAATTTTATTGATAATAAGACAAAAGATTTCATGTAAAAGAGGATATATGAGAGTGATAAACCATGAGACTACTACATTTATTGATGTGGGATTATACGAGTTTATTTTTTTTCTTTTTTGTTTATTTTTTCATTGGGGGATATCTTTTTAATTTTATTTTTTCTCTTTTTTGTTTATTGCTTTCTTCTTAGCACGAGGGATAATGAAGGGAAACGGAAAAGGGAAATTTTTTATTTGTGTCATTCTCACGGGCAAATGGCACTTGAAATGTCCCCATTCTAATTTCACCCAACAAGGTTGATGTGATGTATTAAAATCAAGTTTCTCGAAAAGGATTGTCTACGAAGAGACCGTTGACCTTTTGCAAAGGGAGGTCACAATCGTTATGGTCCCTTAGATTTCAAAATGGGTGGTTGTAAAAGTGTCATTGATTAGACACAAAGTTCCAAAACAAAAATTTCAAACTTTGTGCCTCACCCAAGCCACTCAATTTCACATTTAATGAGTGGGAATAGTTGTGACCTCATTATACAAAAAGTAAAAGATCTCCTTCTAGACAATCCCTTCCCAAAATTGTGATTTCCATATAATCGATTGAGAAAATAAGGCACGAGAGAGACAAATAAGGAATGGATGAGAGACTTATATTAAGATCTCCTAGTACAAAAGCCAAGTCAGTGGGTATGGGTTATCCAATTAGCTTTGATTATCAGTTAGTGTTTAAAAAAATCGATGATTTGGATTGAAATTGGCCAATTTAGATCAGGAAGAGGTTGGGCCGATCTGGATCCCCTAAAATATCAGGAACTGGCCAGTTTCCCCTATTAACCAGCTAGAAAATAGGCCGTTTTTGGTAGGTGTAGCTTCCATGTTTCGAAATGAAAGCCTCATTTCACATTCTTCCATATTTGGTGGGAGATGATTTTTTGGCATTGCCGTCTCCCACAATCAAACACGCTAAGTTATTAGGACCCGAAAGTTCCAAACTGGTTTGACGAATAAATTTGAGGGCTTTGGAACTTGACATTTTGAATAATTAGAGCTATGAAATTTTATTTAAGAATTATTGATCTAGTATCTCACTTGCAGAAAAAAGCCCTCACCAATGCGTCAATGTTTCTATTTTGAAAAAAAAAACAACAAATCTTAAAAAGTGACGAGTGTAAAATTAAAAAGAGAGGAATTTTTTTTTTTTTTGAAAGACAATCACAGATTTATTACTCATTCAAACGAGATTACATCATTAGAAATTAGAGGGAATCAAGGAAGACACCACCCTTGGCTAATGTATCGGCAAGAACATTAGACTCCCTGTACACATGCGAAAAAGTAACAGAAAAAGTCGAAGAAAAGTCTAAAATCTTCAAGCAAAAGGAGCGTAAGTCCCACGGAATTAACTGCTCTTTTGTACACTATTGGATGACATTCAGATAATCCCATTCAATCAAGCATGAGGAGCCCTTATTCCTCTCAACAAAGATCTCAATCTCATTCAGTAAAGCCCATAATTCTGCCATATTAGCCGTAGCTACTCCAATTGGACCCCACATAAGAGAGAATGATAGAACCAGCGGTATCTCAAAACACTCCACCAATACCAGCAGGGCTCGGATTACCAAAAGAGCTTCCATCAAAATTCAGCTTAATGCAGCCAATTAATTGGAGGGGCCACCCAGAGGCCTTTTGGTTTGCATCTATGAAGACCCAGAAGGAATAAATTAGGAAGGTTAACCATTACATCCACTTTAGATATACCCCTCCTTGTCTTAGAAACTGAGATACTTCACCAAATGGCCACTTTAATTAAGTGTAGTAAGTTATCAAAAGACCAAACAACCCCTTCAAAAGTCCTTCTATTTCTTTCCTTCCAAATTTCCCACAAGATAATACCCTTTGCAATCTTCCATATCTCACTTCCCACCTTAGGCAAGAACGGGTGAGAGAACTGGTGGATACAACTAAGAACATTCGGTGGTAGTGCAATAGAAATACCCACCAGATTCATTAGTCAATGCCAAATACTTGAGGAAAACAGACAATGGAGAAGGAGATGGTTAACTGATTCCCCATCCTATTTACATAATAAACATATGTTTGGCAAAAAATTTCCCCTTTTAATGAGATTGTCCACCGTTAAGATGTTCTCTTGGGCAGCTAACCAAATGAAGACCTGCACTTTATGTGGGTTTGGCCATTTCCAAACTTGGTTAATTGAGGGAGAAAACCATCTCCATTGGTCATGAAAGAATAAATTGTAGCACGACCCTGTCCAATAATTCCAACAACCTACACCATTGTATTAGAATAACATTATCCAGGCGTCTATAAATGAGGGGAATGTTCCATGATAATCTATTACCTCCCCTTTCAACTGCCTCTGAAATTATGATATTTGGGTTTGAAACCACTCTTTACAAATCAAGAAACACCACTTTCAAAGGATAGTCCCCAAACCACTTGTGCTGCCAAAGCATAATTTGTCTACCACTACCTGGGATCCATCTCAAATATCCCGAAATCATAGGCTTGCATCTAAAAATACTCCTCCAAATAAAAAAACCTTTACTTCCTCTACCACCTCCCAACCAAGTTCCATGCATTTCCAGTCCATACTTTGCTACCAACACTTGACACCAAAGATGATCTTTTAGATAAATACTTCTCCACCACCATTTACATAATAATGTCATATTGAAATTTCTTACATTCCTTATACCCAATCCTCTTTTCCTTTTGGGTGTACAGACTCTATCCCATCTAAGCAGATGATATTTTCTATTTTCACCATTTGACCCCCACAAAAAATCTCTCATCATTCGCTCAATCCTCTTAGCAACCATAACGGGAATTTCAATCACATACATCTGGTAAACTGAAAGATTGGCTAGGCATGATGTAAGCAGAGTAACCTTGCCCCCCAAATAAAGGTATTTATACCTTCAGAAGTCCAATTTCACCTGAATTCTTTTTATCACCCTATCCCAAACAGCAATGGGAAATTTGGAGTCTGAGAACGGTAAC